GGCCTGTCCTTGGCCGGTCCTTGGTTGGTCCTTGGCTGGTCCTTGGTTGGTCCTTGGTTGGTCCTTGTCCGGTCCTTGGCTGGTCCTTGGTTGGTCCTTGGCCTGTCCTTGGCCGGTCCTTGGTTGGTCCTTGGCTGGTCCTTGGTTGGTCCTTGTCCAGTCCGTGGCTAGTCCTTGGCCGGTCCATGGTCCTTGGCCGGTCCTCGGCCGGTCCTCGGCCGGTCCTCGGCCGGTCCTCGGCCGGTCCTCGGCCGGTCCTTGGCTGGTCCTTGGCTGGTCCTTGGCCGGTCCTTGGCTGGTCCTTGGCCGGTCCTTGGCTGGTCCTCGGCCGGTCCTTGGTTGGTCCTCGGCCGGTCCTTGGTTGGTCCTTGGCCGGTCCTTGGTTGGTCCTTGGCCGGTCCTTGGTTGGTCCTTGGCTGGTCCTTGATTGGTCCTTGGTTGGTCCTTGGCTGGTCCTTGGCTGGTCCTTGGTTGGTCCTTGGTTGGTCCTTGGCTGGTCCTTGGTTGGTCCTTGGCCAGTCCTTGGTTGGTCCTTGGCTGGTCCTTGGTTGGTCCTTGGCCGGTCCTTGGCTGGCCCTTGGTTGGTCCTTGGTTGGTCCTTGGTTGGTCCTTGGCTGGTCCTTGGTTGGTCCTTGGCCAGTCCTTGGTTGGTCCTTGGCTGGTCCTTGGTTGGTCCTTGGTTGGTCCTTGGTTGGTCCTTGGCTGGTCCTTGGTTGGTCCTTGGCCAGTCCTTGGTTGGTCCTTGGCTGGTCCTTGGTTGGTCCTTGGCCAGTCCTTGGTTGGTCCTTGGCTGGTCCTTGGTTGGTCCTTGGCCGGTCCTTGGCTGGTCCTCGGCTGGTCCTTGGTTGGTCCTTGGCCGGTCCTTGGTTGGTCCTTGGCTGGTCCTTGGTTGGTCCTTGGCTGGTCCTTGGTTGGTCCTTGGCCGGTCCTTGGTTGGTCCTTGGCCGGTCCTTGGTTGGTCCTTGGCCAGTCCTTGGTTGGTCCTTGGCTGGTCCTTGGTTGGTCCTTGGCCGGTCCTTGGCTGGTCCTCGGCTGGTCCTTGGTTGGTCCTTGGCCGGTCCTTGGCCGGTCCTTGGTTGGTCCTTGGCTGGTCCTTGGTTGGTCCTTGGTTGGTCCTTGGCCTGTCCTTGGCCGGTCCTTGGTTGGTCCTTGGCTGGTCCTTGGCCGGTCCTTGGTTGGTCCTTGGCCTGTCCTTGGCCGGTCCTTGGTTGGTCCTTGGCTGGTCCTTGGTTGGTCCTTGGTTGGTCCTTGGCCAGTCCTTGGTTGGTCCTTGGCTGGTCCTTGGTTGGTCCTTGGCCGGTCCTTGGCTGGTCCTCGGCTGGTCCTTGGTTGGTCCTTGGCCGGTCCTTGGTTGGTCCTTGGCTGGTCCTTGGTTGGTCCTTGGCTGGTCCTTGGTTGGTCCTTGGCCGGTCCTTGGTTGGTCCTTGGCCGGTCCTTGGTTGGTCCTTGGCCAGTCCTTGGTTGGTCCTTGGCTGGTCCTTGGTTGGTCCTTGGCCGGTCCTTGGCTGGTCCTCGGCTGGTCCTTGGTTGGTCCTTGGCCGGTCCTTGGCCGGTCCTTGGTTGGTCCTTGGCTGGTCCTTGGTTGGTCCTTGGTTGGTCCTTGGCCTGTCCTTGGCCGGTCCTTGGTTGGTCCTTGGCTGGTCCTTGGCCGGTCCTTGGTTGGTCCTTGGCCTGTCCTTGGCCGGTCCTTGGTTGGTCCTTGGCTGGTCCTTGGCCGGTCCTTGGTTGGTCCTTGGCCTGTCCTTGGCCGGTCCTTGGTTGGTCCTTGGCTGGTCCTTGGTTGGTCCTTGGTTGGTCCTTGTCCAGTCCTTGGCTGGTCCTTGGTTGGTCCTTGGCCTGTCCTTGGCCGGTCCTTGGTTGGTCCTTGGCTGGTCCTTGGTTGGTCCTTGTCCAGTCCTTGGCTGGTCCTTGGCTGGTCCTTGGCCGGTCCGTGGCTAGTCCTTGGCCGGTCCATGGTCCTTGGCCGGTCCTCGGCTGGTCCTCGGCCGGTCCTTGATTGGTCCTTGGCTGGTCCTTGGCTGGTCCTTGGCCGGTCCTTGGTTGGTCCTTGGCTGGTCCTTGGCCGGTCCTTGGCTGGTCCTCGGCTGGTCCTTGGTTGGTCCTTGGCCGGTCCTTGGTTGGTCCTTGGCCGGTCCTTGGTTGGTCCTTGGCCGGTCCTTGGTTGGTCCTTGGTTGGTCCTTGGCTGGTCCTTGGCCGATCCTTGGTTGGTCCTTGGCCAGTCCTTGATTGGTCCTTGGTTGGTCCTTGGCTGGTCCTTGGCTGGTCCTTGGTTGGTCCTTGGTTGGTCCTTGGCTGGTCCTTGGTTGGTCCTTGGCCAGTCCTTGGTTGGTCCTTGGCTGGTCCTTGGTTGGTCCTTGGCCGGTCCTTGGCTGGCCCTTGGTTGGTCCTTGGTTGGTCCTTGGTTGGTCCTTGGCTGGTCCTTGGTTGGTCCTTGGCCAGTCCTTGGTTGGTCCTTGGCTGGTCCTTGGTTGGTCCTTGGTTGGTCCTTGGCTGGTCCTTGGTTGGTCCTTGGCCAGTCCTTGGTTGGTCCTTGGCTGGTCCTTGGTTGGTCCTTGGCCGGTCCTTGGCTGGTCCTCGGCTGGTCCTTGGTTGGTCCTTGGCCGGTCCTTGGTTGGTCCTTGGCCGGTCCTTGGTTGGTCCTTGGCTGGTCCTTGGTTGGTCCTTGGTTGGTCCTTGGCCTGTCCTTGGCCGGTCCTTGGTTGGTCCTTGGCTGGTCCTTGGCCGGTCCTTGGTTGGTCCTTGGCCTGTCCTTGGCCGGTCCTTGGTTGGTCCTTGGCTGGTCCTTGGTTGGTCCTTGGTTGGTCCTTGTCCAGTCCTTGGCTGGTCCTTGGCTGGTCCTTGGCCGGTCCTTGGTTGGTCCTTGGCCTGTCCTTGGCCGGTCCTTGGTTGGTCCTTGGCTGGTCCTTGGTTGGTCCTTGGTTGGTCCTTGTCCAGTCCTTGGCTGGTCCTTGGTTGGTCCTTGGCCTGTCCTTGGCCGGTCCTTGGTTGGTCCTTGGCTGGTCCTTGGTTGGTCCTTGTCCAGTCCTTGGCTGGTCCTTGGCTGGTCCTTGGCCGGTCCGTGGCTAGTCCTTGGCCGGTCCATGGTCCTTGGCCGGTCCTCGGCCGGTCCTCGGCTGGTCCTCGGCCGGTCCTTGATTGGTCCTTGGCTGGTCCTTGGCTGGTCCTTGGCCGGTCCTTGGTTGGTCCTTGGCTGGTCCTTGGCCGGTCCTTGGCTGGTCCTCGGCTGGTCCTTGGTTGGTCCTTGGCCGGTCCTTGGTTGGTCCTTGGCCGGTCCTTGGTTGGTCCTTGGCCGGTCCTTGGTTGGTCCTTGGTTGGTCCTTGGCTGGTCCTTGGCCGGTCCTTGGTTGGTCCTTGGCCAGTCCTTGATTGGTCCTTGGTTGGTCCTTGGCTGGTCCTTGGCTGGTCCTTGGTTGGTCCTTGGTTGGTCCTTGGCTGGTCCTTGGTTGGTCCTTGGCCAGTCCTTGGTTGGTCCTTGGCTGGTCCTTGGTTGGTCCTTGGCCGGTCCTTGGCTGGCCCTTGGTTGGTCCTTGGTTGGTCCTTGGTTGGTCCTTGGCTGGTCCTTGGTTGGTCCTTGGCCAGTCCTTGGTTGGTCCTTGGCTGGTCCTTGGTTGGTCCTTGGTTGGTCCTTGGTTGGTCCTTGGCTGGTCCTTGGTTGGTCCTTGGCCAGTCCTTGGTTGGTCCTTGGCTGGTCCTTGGTTGGTCCTTGGCCAGTCCTTGGTTGGTCCTTGGCTGGTCCTTGGTTGGTCCTTGGCCGGTCCTTGGCTGGTCCTCGGCTGGTCCTTGGTTGGTCCTTGGCCGGTCCTTGGTTGGTCCTTGGCTGGTCCTTGGCTGGTCCTTGGTTGGTCCTTGGCCGGTCCTTGGTTGGTCCTTGGCCGGTCCTTGGTTGGTCCTTGGCCAGTCCTTGGTTGGTCCTTGGCTGGTCCTTGGTTGGTCCTTGGCCGGTCCTTGGCTGGTCCTCGGTTGGTCCTTGGCCGGTCCTTGGTTGGTCCTTGGCCGGTCCTTGGTTGGTCCTTGGTTAGTCCTTGGTTGGTCCTTGGCCGGTCCTTGGTTGGTCCTTGGTTGGTCCTTGGCTGGTCCTTGGCTGGTCCTTGGCCGGTCCTTGGCTGGTCCTTGGCCGGTCCTTGGTTGGTCCTTGGTTGGTCCTTGGCTGGTCCCCTACAGCTTCTTTTTAAACATCAATCTTTGCACTAAAATATTCTTTCTGTCATGATTTGTGGACATTAGGATCTAAGGAGAAGCGCCATCTTCTGGTCAGACCCTGTAATTCAGTGAAAGGGTGGAGTCAGAGTAAAAACAATATGTTGGGTTCATGGAGATTTTGCTGGGAGTTGCAGGGAAGCAGGCTGCCATTTGACTGGAAAGGACTATCTTTAATGGCTGCTGCTCTAAATGTCCACTAATTATTTTATTTATCATTTTCAGTCATGTGTGGCCTATTACTAAGCTTTGTGGCCTAAACGTTTTTTTATTTCCTTTCCTTTATCACTGTCATACATAACCTGTGATGCTGTCAAGGAATGTTTGTATTCTCTCTAATAAAAAAAGTAAAAATAAATAAAAGAAAAGGTTAAGGTTATAACATCTACAACATGACGAGTGATGAATTCACAAACCTTTGATAATGCCTTAAAAATTCATCTACGAGGAAAAACTCAACATTTTAATATCGACTAAAAGATTTGATTTAAATAAAAAGGATCTTCAGGCCAACAGCTGCTACAGTTTACTAACAACCGACCAACTGATCACCTGTTTAACCTTCCATGTTGCATTAAGCAGTTAGTGTTGATATATATTCCAGGCATAGAGCGCCCTGATGGCATGAAGCCTAAATATTTCTCCCAATATGTCATATAATATCGCATTTAGGACATTGCCTTAATCTATTTCTACAGATCATCTTTTAAACTGCTGTTATTATTTAGATTGTGTTTGTTTAAATAATGATTTTATTACAGACCAAACATGGAGCCAAGTTTGAATCTTTTTCTCTCTGCAGCTGAAGCTCTGGGTCTTCCAGAACCAGCCAGGGTGCCGTACTCCAGGTTTCAGATGTATCCAGAGCATCTATACGTCACCGGCCTGCCGGAAGGAATCTCCATCCGAAGGCCCAACTGCTTCGGAGCGGCTAAGCTGCGCAAGATCCTGGCTGCCAGCGCTCACATCCAGTTTGTTATCAAAAGGTAGAAAACAGATACAGTTTGTACAGTTAGTCTACTTTAAATTATTATTTTTTAACTTGCCTGGTTTGGTTTTCCAGGCCGGAGCTTTTAGCTGAACAAGTTAAACAAGAGATGCCTTTGATGTCCGTATGTGAAGCAGGTACGTCTCTGTCTAACATGATCTATGGTGCGATAGACTGGGCCGGTAGTTTTCAGATTTACTTTATCCTCTAAAACCCACCGGGTCGCCGGCGACCCGTTTTAAAGTCTTTACATGTCATAAGTCAGAATGTAAAATGTTGACCAATATAAACATGTTAGACATCATTGGAAAGCTTAGATTCTCCACTATTCAACCACCATGTTCATTTCATCAAAGCACAATTAACTCAGATATAGCAGCGTGTCAGAATCTAAGCATGACAAAGCAGCTCCTACAAGCTAGCATGTCTTTATAACTGCTGTTCAAAAAAGACCTGTTATCTTTGAGAATAAATAAACAGCTTTGAGTCATTTTTGAACCGATGCAGCTTGGGCTGTGTGTTACTCTCCCAATGTTCTTTTAAATATCCAGAAACTAGAAGCTGTTATCTTCCAAATAAGGTATCAATGTAATTTGGGCTTACAGTTCCTAAGTTATTTACTTTTCCATTTGGGTATGCAGAATAGGTGAGAATTTCCCGAAATGAGGGGGATGTTAAAAGGATAAGCAAATATCAGAACTGTCCTCTATATGATCAGAAGGATCCAGTTAAATTTAATCCAGCATTTACTTTAAAACCTCCTAAAACAATAAAAAAGGAAGTCCTATAGCTGTCTGTGCTTTGATCTCTAATGAGCTTCTGCTATAAATGCTTTTTTCGTGGTAAGTTATTCTTGAAAGAGAACAAAAACAAAAGTTTGTTGTTTTCCACAGAGCCAGACGCCAACGATGCAACACCAGCAGAGGACGCAGCAGCTCTGTCCAAGAGACCCGGATTCTCAGGTACCCTCATGTTTGATCTGCAGTCACAGATCAGAGGCTTAGATCTGGAGTCGCTTTAAACATTAATTAGCTCCGGTTCCCCCATGAAAGAGATGCAAAGCTTTCAAGCTTTCCTCCGTTTCATGTCCCCAGAGTGCATGGAGTCCAAGCTGTCCAGGATCGACCTGGCCAACACGCTGCGGGAGCAGGTCCAGGATCTCTTCAACAGGAAGTACGGGGAGGCGTTGGGCATCAAGTACCCCGTCCAAGTGCCTTACAAGAGGATCAAGAACAACCCTGACTCCGTCATCATCGAAGGCCTCCCCCCCGGCATCCCCTTCAGGAAGCCCTGCACATTCGGCTCCCAGAACCTGGAGAGGATCCTGGCCGTCGCTGATAAAATCAGCTTCACCATCACCAGGTTAGACCAGGGGGGTTTACCATTAGGCAATAATACAGTTGCTTAGGGCCCCACGCTCCTGGGGGCCCCATAAAACTCTGCTTACATGCATGGTTAATACAACTATTCCTTATTTGTGCACATTATGTTTTAGATAAAAAATCCTTTCGCTAAAATGCCATCAGAACGCTGATAATATTAAGTGTGTCTCAGCCCCCCCCCTCAGTGTCCACCATATTGGATCAGTCCATTTGCTGCACATGTTCAGAAAGGTCCAAACAGACAGCAGCAAACCATTTGAAAACAAACCATGCAAAGAGCAGTGTTGCCAACTTAGCGCTTTAGTCGCTATATTTAGCCACTTTTCAGACCCCTCTAGCACTTTAATTTCTAAAAAGCTCCTAGCGCCAAATCTAGAGACTTTTTTCTGCTACTGGAGACTTTGGAGACAACATCTAAAAGCAGCGAACTCTGCTCTCCAGAGCGAGTAGATTGGTAACCCCGCCTCCTGCTCTCCTCTATCTTGTCTGCTGTCATGATTCATGCAGCTATTATTTCATCCAAATGAAAAATGGAGAACAGATAAGCAGATCATGGCTTGTCTACAGTGAAAAGAAGGACTGGGTTATTTACTTTGGCCTTTTTGGAAACACAGGAAGGAGCAATCAGCTAAGTGAGCTTAGTGCTTGGAAAAAATCTTTCATTCCTTTAGAGACAGCATGAAAAGTCAGCTGAGTACAAAACATAGAGAGGAAAACAAGAAGAAAAGGGACAAGAAGAGAGGGACACAACCTAGAACAGATAATGGATGTCTATTCTGTTAACATTTATCTATCTGGAGAATGGCTCTGTCTTTGCCTAGGGCCCTAAATTTCCTAAATCCGCCCCTGGTTAGACCCCAGTGTTTCTGGTCAAATTTTAATGTTATTTAATTATGATTTTTCGTCTTTTCAGACCATTTCAAGGACTTATTCCTAAACCAGGTAATCACAGAATTCACTTTGAAACCCTTTTATTTTATTCAGGAAAAAAGTTATGTTAAAAGTTAACATTTTGTTTTCTTTTATCAGCACCTCGTCGGGTCACTTTACTAAAGAAGGCCTATGCCTCTATAAGCGGTAAGTGGAAAAGTTTTCTTTTTTTTTTCACCAATTGATCAAATCAAATTTGCTGTGTTGAGTTTTGTGCCTTTCTGCCAACAGACGATGACGACATGAACCGCATGGGCGAGAAAGTGGTCCTCCGAGAGCAAGTCAAGGAGCTTTTTAACAAGAAATATGGTAACAGGGCTGCAATTATTCAGCAAATCAAAATTCAATTCTGAATCTAATCCAGATCTTTAATCTGGGATCATAAAAACCAGAGAAGATATGAGCGATAAACGCAGGATTCTTTTATCACTGCGGTATGGAAACATGTTAGCATAGAAAAGAAAATTCTAAAAATTGAGACGAGCTCGGTAACCTGAGTTACAAAGTAAAATAAAAATCCTAATTTCTTTATACATATAAAAAAAATACAATTTTATTGCAGGAGTTTCAAGATTTTAATGGATAAGTCCGGTCAGCAAGGAATAATCAGCGGATTATTATTTATAGCTAAAACTAAAACGATTGTGGTGATTTCCAGCAGTGACGTCACGGTGCGGTTAGCCTAGCGCCATTCTCCCCGCTTTACAAGCTAAATCAATCGGAACTACTAGACACATCTGCAATCAACAACAATTATTGAAGATTTCCAGAGGACTTCACCATTGAAATTCACCAGAGCTATAGTGAAACTGACAATGCCCACGTGCAAAATTACTCTGAATTAAAAACACTGATTATTAATGGAAGGTGATGCAATAATTTTATATTTAAAGTACTTCCAAAAGTTTGTATTCTGAATATGAATGGACTTCTCCTTTAAAAAACTGATCCTGATCTGTGGAAAGGACTTTCAGATTGGCCGTCTGCTGTAGACGGGCTAACATTAGTCCATCTGCAGCAGCCAGGGCTAACGTTAGCCCTGGCTGCTGCAGATGGACTAACGTTAGCCCTGGCTGCTGCAGATGGGCTAACGTTAGCCCTGGCCGCTGCAGATGGACTAACGTTAGCCCTGGCCGCTGCAGATGGACTAACGTTAGCCATGTCTGCTGCAGATGGACTAACGTTAGCCCTGGCTGCTGCAGATGGACTAACGTTAGCCCTGTCTGCTGCAGATGAACTAACGTTAGCCCTGGCTGCTGCAGATGGACTAACGTTAGCCCTGGCCGCTGCAGATGGACTAACGTTAGCCCTGGCCGCTGCAGATGGACTAACGTTAGCCCTGGCTGCTGCAGATGGAGCCCTGGCCGCTGCAGATGGACTAACGTTAGCCCTGTCTGCTGCAGATGGACTAACGTTAGCCCTGGCCGCTGCAGATGGACTAACGTTAGCCCTGGCCGCTGCAGATGGACTAACGTTAGCCCTGGCCGCTGCAGATGGACTAACGTTAGCCCTGTCTGCTGCAGATGGACTAACGTTAGCCCTGGCCGCTGCAGATGGAGTAACGTTAGCCCTGTCTGCTGCAGATGGACTAACGTTAGCCCTGGCCGCTGCAGATGGACTAACGTTAGCCCTGGCCGCTGCAGATGGACTAACGTTAGCCCTGGCCGCTGCAGATGAACTAACGTTAGCCCTGGCCGCTGCAGATGAACTAACGTTAGCCCTGGCCGCTGCAGATGGACTAACGTTAGCCCTGGCCGCTGCAGATGGACTAACGTTAGCCCTGGCCGCTGCAGATGGACTAACGTTAGCCCTGGCTGCTGCAGATGGACTAACGTTAGCCCTGGCCGCTGCAGATGGACTAACGTTAGCCCTGGCCGCTGCAGATGGACTAACGTTAGCCCTGGCTGCTGCAGATGGACTAACGTTAGCCCTGGCCGCTGCAGATGGACTAACGTTAGCCCTGGCCGCTGCAGATGGACTAACGTTAGCCCTGGCCGCTGCAGATGGAGTAACGTTAGCCCTGTCTGCTGCAGATGGACTAACGTTAGCCCTGGCCGCTGCAGATGGACTAACGTTAGCCCTGGCCGCTGCAGATGGACTAACGTTAGCCCTGGCCGCTGCAGATGGACTAACGTTAGCCCTGTCCGCTGCAGATGGACTAACGTTAGCCCTGGCCGCTGCAGATGAACTAACGTTAGCCCTGGCTGCTGCAGATGGACTAACGTTAGCCCTGGCCGCTGCAGATGGACTAACGTTAGCCCTGGCCGCTGCAGATGGACTAACGTTAGCCCTGGCTGCTGCAGATGGACTAACGTTAGCCCTGGCCGCTGCAGATGGACTAACGTTAGCCCTGGCCGCTGCAGATGGACTAACGTTAGCCCTGGCTGCTGCAGATGGACTAACGTTAGCCCTGGCTGCTGCAGATGGACTAACGTTAGCCCTGGTCGCTGCAGATGGACTAACGTTAGCCCTGGCCGCTGCAGATGGACTAACGTTAGCCCTGGCTGCTGCAGATGGACTAACGTTAGCCCTGGCCGCTGCAGATGGACTAATGTTAGCCCTGGCTGCTGCAGATGGACTAACGTTAGCCCTGGCTGCTGCAGATGGACTAACGTTAGCCCTGGCCGCTGCAGATGGACTAATGTTAGCCCTGGCTGCTGCAGATGGACTAACGTTAGCCCTGGCCGCTGCAGATGGACTAACGTTAGCCCTGGCTGCTGCAGATGGAATAACGTTAGCCCTGGCCGCTGCAGATGGACTAACGTTAGCCCTGGCCGCTGCAGATGGACTAACGTTAGCCCTGGCTGCTGCAGATGGACTAACGTTAGCCCTGGCCGCTATAGCTGGACTAACGTTAGCCCTGGCCGCTGCAGATGGACTAACGTTAGCCCTGGCCGCTGCAGATGGACTAACGTTAGCCCTGGCTGCTGCAGATGGACTAACGTTAGCCCTGGCCGCTATAGCTGGACTAACGTTAGCCCTGGCCGCTGCAGATGGACTAATGTTAGCCCTGGCTGCTGCAGATGGACTAACGTTAGCCCTGGCCGCTGCAGATGGACTAACGTTAGCCCTGGCCGCTGCAGATGGACTAACGTTAGCCCTGGCCGCTGCAGATGGACTAACGTTAGCCCTGGCCGCTATAGCTGGACTAACGTTAGCCCTGGCCGCTGCAGATGGACCAATGTTAGCCCTGGCTGCTGCAGATGGACTAACGTTAGCCCTGGCCGCTGCAGATGGACTAACGTTAGCCCTGGCCGCTGCAGATGGACTAACGTTAGCCCTGGCCGCTGCAGATGGACTAACGTTAGCCCTGGCTGCTGTTAGCCCTCTCTCTGCATAGCCGAGTGTGAAGGATCGCTGGCTCTGATGGCGATATTTTTATGTTTTTCATTTGGCAAAATGTTTTTATGACTGTGTTTATTATTCTCCCCGAGTCCAGACTTTCCTGGGTTCTTCTCAAGAACATACTTGGCGAGGACACGAGTCCGTCATCGCGTTCTAGTGAATTGAGAAACAGATTTAGTCACGTCTTTAAGAAATGGGAATAAATCTAATAAAGACTTTATCTAGGACCTGAGAGATCCGCCTTCTCCTGCGACCAACAGCTCTGAATACCAAAACATTTTTCTCAACATGGATATAAGAGGCCATCAGTGAAACACGGTGGTGGTAGCCTCATCATCCTCATGTTGAAAGACCTTTTGAAATGATGAAAGTCCTAATAGGAGAGAAACTGTAGAATCTTTTTAATAGAAACCTAAACTTCTTTCTATTTCTATTGCCAGCTGTATTTACAGGCCAGTTTAGGTCTAAAATCAGTGATGTTACCTGAAATATTGAAAACGATTATTCTGAGCCTCTTATTGTGTGATCCAGGTGAGGCCCTGGGCTCCGACCGCTCCGTGGTTGTCCCCTACAAGCTGATCCGTGGCAGTCCCGAGTCTGTAGAAGTCAGCGGCCTTCCGGACGACGTCCCCCTCCGAAACCCCAACACCTACGACATCGTGTGTTTGGAGAAAATCCTTCAAGCTGCGGATAAAATAACGTTCAACGTGAAGAGCCAGCTGCAGTGAGTTCACAGCCTCCTGGAAGCTGACAGGAGGAATTTAGGCTCTCGCTGCCGACGCTTTATTTAAACCTCGGCCTTTGATCTGTCACACAGTACATTCTTTACAACAAGGATATATATTTATTTATAAGAAAACAGAGTCTGCTTTGACATCAGCTCATTTTAGATGAAAGAAAAGGAAAAATGGTTGAAATAATCCAGATTAGGAGTCTGTTTTCTTAACTTCTAGGGTGTGAAAAAGTTCCCTAAGCTGCAGGCTAATGTAAACCTTCTCCTCTCTCAGACCTTTTGCAGAAATCTGCAGCCAGGCTTGTAACACAGGTAGGAGAAATTCCCCCTGCATTGGTTGAATCTAGATTAAAAAGCTCTACTCTGCTGAACTGTTATCTGCTCTGTGCTTTTAGTAGGAACAGACGCCTCGACTAACCGACGGAAACGCAAGAGAGTCCATGAGAGCAGCCGCATACCCGCTTCCTCTGACCTGGGGATATCAGCCAATCAGATTCCAGTTATGGTGCGTTAACCAATCATCCGGTCTGAAGTCATTCAGGCTGTTTAATAAACCTTTATAATAATAAATAAGGTGGATTATCTTTCAAGAATGAATATTAATTCATTTACAGGGAGCCAGTATTTATATCAATAGCTTTGCTTTTTTCCCCAACTTTAATATTAGATAAATCCTTAAAAAAAATACCAAAAAAAACATATTTGAGAGGAAAAGTTTTAAGAAATAAAGCAGATTAACATTAATAGTTTTATGTGGGAACTTCAGGATTTCCAATCATTTGTAGTTTATATTCTACGGAAGCCCTGAAAGGCAAGTGGAAAAAAATCCCCTTAAAAAGTTTGTTTTTCTTTTTGTTTGTTTTATTTGTTTTCTGTCCTAAAAAGCAAGTGAGATAAAAAAAAAAAACTGAATAAAAAAACATTTTAAGTTTTTTATATAAATTGTGTGATTGATTGTTGATCCATTAGCGATTTATTAGCCACCAGTGAACATCTGTGGTTTTACTTCAGTGCCTCTAGTGGCAAAACAAAGTATTGCAAAACCAAAGACTTGGTAGCCAAAAAAAATGACAGTAGCCGCAGTTGACAGAAAAAAACTACAAAGGATCTTTGTAGTTTGTGTATACACACATATATATATATATATGTGTGTATATATGTATATACACCCCTGTAATTGACATTTATGCACTATTTTTGCACGCCACGTATCACTTTACTTGGATTTAGTTTTTACATAAGCATATAGATACACATACATGTATACATACAGAAGAGCTATATGTGTATATATTCTATCTCTTTTTTATTTCTATTTTTATTATCTTGTGTAGTTGGATGTGTGTTTATATATATATATATAACTGTAACTGGAGCGTCTAACAAAAGTAATTTCCCTCTGAGATTATTAAAGTATTTCTGATTCTGATATACACACACACACACACACTCGTTGTGTCACAATATCCTTGTGGGGACCTTCCATTGACTTCCATTCATTTCCCACTAATTTATATGGCCTAACCGTGACCCTTGCCCTAACCCTAACCATTACCGACACATACCTATCCCTAACCTAAACTCAATTCACACCTTAGTCCTAAACCTACCCCCCACCCCAAGAAGAGAAACTTTCCTTATGGGGACCAGTTGTTGGTTCCTAGGAAATTGTCCCCACCAGGTATTAAAGACATGGCCACACACACACACACACATACGGTATATATATATATCATATATATGAGAGTCATGGGTAGCTGTTGATGGAATTAAAGTTATTTCTGAGTGAATGAAATTAAATTAGAGTGACTGATTCCTGTATAAACCCAGTATTAGGTCTCGTAAAGTAAAGCTGCTATCTGAGCTGTTGACGCCCCCCCCCCTCTCTGTGTCCCTGCAGCAGTGGCCCATGTACATGGTGGACTACAGTGGAGTTAACGTCCAGGTTCCCGGGAAGGTGAATTACTGAAGGACAAACTGCAGCAAAGAGATTTAAGGAGGCATCGGTTTCTCTTCCATTAAGGACACTAAACCGTTTCCAGAGGAACAAGTCATGCCAATCTCTGCAGAACCATTTTATAAAAGCTGCAGGTTCGACTCCGAAGGAGAGGAAGCCCAGAATGTATGTGTGTCAGAAAGCTTGGCTTGTTTTGCTTTTTAAGGAAAAAAAAAAAAGACTTATTTAACTTTTTAAAGCTGGAAACATCACTAACATCATGTTATTTCCTTTTTTCAGTTACAAAGTGTCCGTCTACTGAGTCAACATTTTAAGTTGAGCATTTGGCTGCAGAAATGATCTAGTTCTGTTCAACTATTTGTACTTTTTTATTTATTATATTTATTCAAATATAACATTTTGTGCAGGGATGTAAAATATATTATTCTGTCATACTTTGAGGAACTCATTACACTAACTCAGATTAATATAGGTAGCTGCTAATCTACAGACTGAAACAGCAGCTTTTAAGTGTCTTAAGTTGTTTTGTTCATCATGAGATAAAAAAAGAAAAAAAAAGGACTAAAGTTTTGGTCAGCAGGAAGTACTTTAACTGTTAACATTAACGTGTAAAATATGTCATTTTAAGTCAGCCTGAATGTATCTTGTAAAGAAAAGAATGGTATGTTACTCTGCGATGACCGTCTGGACTAATTATATTTAATATGCTGTACCTTAACGCCAGTTAGGCCTTTCAAATAAAATGTGTTGCCTTGCACTTTCAATCTGCTCCCGTTTGTTTTCAATGTTTTCTTTATTTCCCTGACAGCTAAAATTATTTTTAATTTGTATAAATGCAGGAATTTTTAGCTACTTTTGTGGCTTTTTAGTCAAAAATAGTTCAATTCTATTCAGTGTATTTCTATAGCTCCAATTCACATCATGTCATCTCAGGTCACTTTCCAGTTCACCAGATCATCCAGTCAGATTGATTCAAAGTTTTCTATCTAAGGAAAACCAGCTGATTGCATCGACTCATTGACTCTTCAGCAATCCCTCACACTAAGCATGCTTGTAGCGACAGTGGAGAGGAAAAAAGCGCCGGTGTGCGCGGATGACATCATACATGTCCCGCTTTGTTTTAAAAAAATATAAATAATCTAACGGCGGATGTCTGGGGGACAGTGATTGGCCTCCATGTTCTGAATGCTGGCGTACCATAAAGAATAAATGTAGAACAGTTTAGTTTGTGCCTTCAAGTCGTTGCCCATAGGAAGGCGTTACTGGATATAACCTAACGGAATATCTTCAGAACGGCTCCAAATGACACTAAACTCATATGGGAGAGTAGAACATGAAGGAATAACGGAAAATCAAGGGGCCAAGGTAAAAAAAAAAAAAAGGAAAAAAAACTAGGGATGCACGATATAATGGGCCCCCTATCAGTATCGGCCTTAAAACTGAATATCGGACATCGGCCACCCCACCGATATTTGATCAGCTTCTGAGTTTCTAAAGTCTAAAAAATAAATTAATAAATACTACTTCTTCTTCTTCCTCAAAAACGTCTTTTTTACAGACTTAAAAACTTCTAAAGACGAGGGAAAAAATATTGATCCATTAAAATATCCCAATATCTTCATATGCTGATATATTGCCATTTAAAAACACCATATCAATCTCTTTTACTAATGAAATATTGCTATATGTCATCGTTATGCTACGAAATCCCCCGAAAATTCACCAAATGTTGCCATATTTTTATATGTTGATATAATGACGCGGTATCGATCTATTTTACTAACAAAATCTCACAAGAATTTGCAAAATATCACGAGAGTTTGTAACAGAACGATGAAATTTCACGAGATTTTGAAAGTAAAATAGATCGATACCGCGTTTTTAAAAATCTATTTGATATCAGCATATGAAAATATATTTGAGTTTATTATTTTTCAAAGTGCCAGAAATGGATAACAAAACTGCTATTTTCAATGACTACTTATTTTTGTCCAGCTTTAACATCGGTATCGATATCGGTTATCGGATACATGAGTTTTAAAATATCGGCATATCGGATATCGGCCAAAATCCCAATATCCTGCATCCCTAAAAAAAACGGCCTTCCCCTTTAGCTCTAGTTTAGTCCCTTAGGGAACATTTCAGTTTCTAGTAAATATGATAAATTTATATTTCTAAGCCGTTTGTCAGGCTGTGCGTTTTCACTTTAAGCTGTAAGCAGCTACTTGTTTAAATTTTCTAAATCTGTAGAATTTAAATCTAATTAGTAAAATACACTTAATGAATGAATTTCCCAGGCAGAGGGGAACAATCAGGAGTGGAACCACTTCAGTGTTAAAAGTTCGTCAGGCTAATAACACCACAGATTTGAAGCAATATCTAAATCGGCGCCACAAACATTTATTCCATTTAATCTTATTGTGACACGGCTCACTTTAAAGTAGCTTATTTAATACTACTGTTCAGTTTCTGTCTTGATTCATGAGAATGTTAGTTGATCTATAGTTGGACGGAGCATTTGCTGGTTGTTGCTGGTGAAGATTCTCAGTCATCCTGGTCAGAGTCATTCCAAAAAAGTAAAAAAAAAAAAAAAACAACCCATTACACTTTGTTTCCAAGTTTGAAGATGTTTTGCGTCCCATCCACTGACTAACTGGATGTGCTCTCTTCATCCTCTGACATGGGAGCTGGCTCGGAGCTCGTCTGCCTGGCTGTGTGTTTCCTGGACGGGGCCGCCTGTGGAGCTGGTTGACAGTTGCCTTTTGTATCTATGCTTCTTTTTCTATGTCTGCTTCTGTCTCCTTGAACCCCAGTGGGCCTCAGCAGATGGCCGCTCACACTGAGCCTGGTTCTGCTGGAGGTTTCTTCCTGTTCAAAGGGAGTTTTTCCTCTCCACTGTTGCTACAAGCATGCTTAGTGTGAGGGATTGCTGAAGAGTCAATGAGTCGATGCAATCAGCTGGTTTTCCTTAGATAGAAAACTTTGAATCAATCTGACTGGATGATCTGGTGAACTGGAAAGTGACCTGAGATGACATGATGTGAATTGGAGCTATAGAAATAAACTGAATAGAATGGCTCCAGGCTGCGCCTCCTCTACCTTCTAGTTTCTCTTTCTATTTACCAACTTTATCATTTTTATCTACTTTATTTACAGCCTACCTTCTTAAAAAAAAACAACAAATACATTTTAAAGCTTTACTTCGAATTAATTCAACATTTCCCACAGATATTATGTTTAAAAACAACTCAGTTGACAGATGTTGGGATTATATGCCCATCCGGGTTGGATGCCATATTAATGTTGTGGATTTTTTGTCACCTGGTTCTGCTGGATAAAAACCTTGTTTTTGTTTAGAAAACATGCAAATTGGAACAGACTCAGATTTCAGCTTCTAAAACCTTCAATGCAGCGATAGAGTTGATTCCTTCCCGCGAATCATCGCAACCCCACCGGCTGTACAGGGGAACAGAAGACCTCGTCTAATCAGCCAGGCCAACTATTCCCTCTAACGACCCCCCTTTCAGAGACATAGACAGGTATGGGGCATTGCAGGCTAACAAAGAAGCCAAACGACCCCCATTCCAAAGGGGGGGACCCGTTCATCCGTTTCTATCTGCATGTTTTCTAAACTAAAACCAGGCTATTTTGGGCCGCTGGATAAAACCTGGAACTAAACGCTATTTCTGACATTTAGAATCCTGGATGGAAGAGAAACGTCTTCAAACTTTGAAACAACGTCCAGTGGATTAACTTTTTGGAATAACTATGTTGTTTTTTAGATTCTGATCGATATATATAATATAACCCCATATTTTCCGGGTTATAATATGGATGTAAATCCTTCCTCTGCTTTCCTAAACCAGATGTTCTGACAGTGGAAGTTAACGTCAGAATGAAAGCTTCCCCACATTCATCGGCTGCTTGGTGTTTGAGTGAAACGGCAGCAGACTACAGAAATAAGCGAGGCTTCGTTTGCATCATTTCTTTATTGCAGACAGTTTTTAAAGTTACACACATGGAGGCTGAGCTGATCAGCTGTCACTGCGAGCAGAATAATGTGTGATACAGGAGGTTGGACCTCGTGGGAACATGTTCGCTGCAGCTTCGCTAGTCTTGTTTTAATGAAGACAAACTTTAAAGACTCTTGATTGTCACACGGTCAAATCCTCTCAAATGGCAAATTTTTTTTTTTTTACTTTTTTTTTGTCTCAGAGGTGATATATAGCCCCATTTACAATAAGCTTTTGAAACCGTGCTGAGATCAGTCGGAGCACGGTAACCAAGGTAACATTTTAGTGTAAATGGAAAGTAACCGAACCGCGCTAACTCTAGTGCTAGTTATCAGTAGGGCTCGGCGCGGCTCAGTTGTGGCTCGGTTCTCTGATAACTAGAGCCTGGTTCACACACTGAAAACCAATCTGAGCAGAGTTCCTTGCAATTTATGCTTGTTTTTTTTACAACCATTTCCACACCACGCTAGCGCAGTTCTTCGCCTCCTAGTGGCGATCTATGGTACTACTGCTCTCTAGAGGAAAAAAAAAAGCAAACTAACATGGCGGCGCCCATAACATTCAGGAAGTTTGGTATCATTGACCTCCGATAGGAGGCGAGGAACCGTGCTAGTGTGGTGACTAAATAGTCGTAAGAACCAAGCTTGAAACGGTCAACGGATCCAGGCTCCTTCCGAACTCGGCACGGTCAACTGATCCAGGCTCGGTCCGAACTCGGCACGGTTACCGGATCCAGGCTCGGCCCGAACTCGGAACGGTTAACGGATCCAGGCTCGGTCCGAACTCGGCGCGGTCAACTGATCCAGGCTCTGTCCGAACTCGGAACGGTCAACGGATCCAGGCTCGGTCCGAACTCGGAACGGTTAACGGATCCAGGCTCGGTCCGAACTCGGCGCGGTCAACGGATCCAGGCTCGGTCCGAACTCGGAACGGTTAACGCATCCAGGCTCGGTCCGAACTCTGAACGGTTAACGCATCCAGGCTCGGAACGGTCAACGGATCCAGGCTCGGTCCGAACTCGGAACTGTTAACGCATCCAGGCTCGGTCCGAACTCGGAACGGTCAACGGATCCAGACTCGGTCCGAACTCGGCGCGGTCAACGGATCCAGGCTCGGTCCGAACTCGGAACGGTCAACGGATCCAGGCTCTGTCCGAACTCGGAACGGTCAACGGATCCAGGCTCTGTCCGAACTCGGAACGGTCAACGGATCCAGGCTCTGTCCGAACTCGGAACGGTCAACGGATCCAGGCTCGGTCCGAACTCGGAACGGTCAACGGATCCAGACACGGTCCGAACTCGGCGCGGTCAACGGATCCAGGCTCGGTCCGAACTCGGAACGGTCAACGGATCAAGGCTCGGTCCGAACTCGGAACGGTTAACGCATCCAGGCTCGGTCCGAACTCGGAACGGTTAACGCATCCAGGCTCGGTCCGAACTCGGAACGGTCAACCGATCCAGGCTCGGTCCGAACTCGGCGTGGTTAACGCATCCAGGCTCGGTCCGAACTCGGAACGGTTTCAGAGGTTTCGTGTAAACGGGGCGTTAACGACTGATTTCTCTGGAACATCATTCCCTCCAACAGCAACTGTGACATTAGAAGAGGAAACAGCTGCAGACGATCCTCCATTTTGAAGATTTACACAGAGGATGGCTAAATAATGAAGAAAAGTCACGACTTTATGGCATTTCTTTTTCTCTGCTATTTTTGATGCATTCATATCTTTATTTACAGGGTGAAGTATTGCCTCTTCTCATCAGATCTGTTGGTTGTACTGACGTTGCTACTTGACGGTTAGTGTTGTTGTCAGACTGCTCGTGTTCCCGGTTGGTAACCGGTCAGCTGAAATCTTCATGTCAGAACTAAAGTGCTTGATGAGATTTTTTATTCCCAAAGTGAGCTCCGCTTCCTACTGCAGCTGAAACAATGATACCGGGAAAAATCTAATAAAATCACTAGTTTTCCAGTGGGAGGTTCTACCGATCAGACTCACCCCCCCCCGTTCTTTTTTCCAGTTGGGGTTTGTGTCTCGCAGGAATGCAGCAGCGTATGAACCAGGCAGCTTTTTCACAGAGATATTTTTCTTTTTTTTCCGTCTGTATCTTTTTGTCTTTCGTCCCGTTTGGACCCACAGGAACCCACTGGGCTCTAAAGGCTGAGCCGGAGGTTAGCGGTGGGATGGAAGTGGGCGACGCTGGGAGCTAACCGCTGCCGGCGGGCGGTTTGAGGCAGTCCTCGGTCACGCCCTGCGAGGCCAGCTCAGACAGGACGTTGTCCAGGTAGTTGGGGTCCGGGTAGCCGTGGCCCGACAGGTTGGACATCATCTCGGTTTTGTGGTGGATGCCGTTCCAAACCACCGTGTCGTGCTCCCCGGTGGTGCTGGACGTCCCCACGGTGAAGATGAGCCGCCGCATCCACGCCACCTTCAGCAGCTCCAGGACCTGATGGCGAGCAGAGAGGCGCAGCAGAGTCAGGATGACCCGATTCCCCACAACTGATCAGGATGTTTAATGATGTCGTTATAAAAACCTACAGACCTTCAAATCTGATCAACTCCATAATATTAACACAGAACGGAGGGAGAAAGCTTTGGTTATTTTAAAAACCTGTTGCTTTGAAATCATTTAGATTTAATTACAGCTTTACAAACGTTTCCTCATGAATGACGGTGAAAGAAATGGAGCCTTTGATGTCAGAAGCAAAAATGAAAGTCAGTTAATTGTTACTTCTTTTCTATTTCAGAGTCACTGAGCAAAGAAACTCAGGTCTTTCCTCTTTTAACCATTTTCAAATCAAATTTGTCTTTTAACTTACAATTTCTTTCTAGTTTTAGTCCTTATAAAATGCAGATCGGTCCAAAATCAAGGATAAAATCTCTGTGTGAGACGGTGACGTTCAAACGGCTCCTAAACAAAACCAACGTGTTTATAGCTGCTACGTCCAGGAGGTCGTAAAATATCGCCACTGGACACCTTCGCCTTGGAGCTTTTAGAGAATATTTTCTAATCATCTGATCTGACACATCCGCGCCGACCTGTGTTACTAGATCTGCTCGGGTCCTGCTTCATGCCAGTGACGTTACGCTACATGATTGGTTGATCGTTGCCGCATGATTTAACATGATTTACCTGACGCAGAAATACCCGCTGCTTCTCCATAACTGCATTTTGACGTTCTGAGTTTCATGCTTCCCACGTGTCTCCACTGCTTGATCCACATCGTGCTTCACCTACATTCCCTGGCAGAGGTTTTAGCTTATTTTAGCTTTATTGTGATAGCTTATTTTTCATTGAATTTAAACTCCCCCATGTTGTCCAGATAGAAAGTTGAGTGGCGCATCATCCCAAGGTCCGTACGCCACATCGTCTATATCTGTTCTATTAGGACTGAAACAATAACGGTTACGGTTCCAAAAATATTGTCAATTATTTTAATGTTTGATATGACTTACAAAAATAAAATCCTATTTATGACGTGGTAACAATTTTTAGACCTATGACAGACTGATTTAAGACATTTTAATACCAATTAAGGCCTTGATTTTATATTGAAGAATTCAATGCCTTTTAAGACTTTTTAAGGACCTGCAGGAACCCTGTAAATAAAAATAAAATATTTCATTGCATTCTGTTTATTTTTGGATGAATATTTCTCTCTCATTCTGCTCGTTTCTATTTGAATATGATGTAAATGTTTCCTTGTATTGTCATTAAAACATTTTATCTTTTTCCTTTAAATATTTCAACATTTTAGCAGCATATTCAATCAGTTTAGGTCTGGGTTGCCATGGAAACACAAGGCAAATATATTGAAGAAATAAAGACAAAATGACCAAAGTAGAAAGAAAAGTGTTTTTGTTTTTTGCTTTTTTTGGACTAATGCAGATTTTATAGATCTGTGTTTCATGCAGAATTCATAGTAGATCAGGAATGTTTGCTTTGGATGTCTAAAACCTTTCCTTTATTGGACATTCTGTCAGCTTATCTGTCTGCTATATTAACCAATAGGATGTGTTGAACTAGATCTGCTATTTTCACAGCTTTTGTGAGACACTTTTTTTTTTTTTTTTTACAAAGTATTGGATTAATTCATAAAAAAGTTTATTTGAATTCTATAAATCAAAGTTTTCTGCCAACAGCAATGATGATCTGCACAGCAGCTTTCTATACCCAGATATTGTAGCATCTAGGATAGAGCTGCAGGCTGGGAAACAATCTGGTTGTTATTCCAAATTATAAAAGGTTCATCTTTTTTTTTGCAACATTAAACTGATTAAAACTCTCACATATCGTTATAACTAAAATGTCACAAAGACTAATAATAGTTTCTGGCCCTGAAGACTAAAAATAAATCCAAGATGGCTGCCAGAAACACTGCTTGGCGGTTGTAGTGTTAGTGAGCGTGAATGATGCTCAGAGAATGATCACTATAGATCTGGAAGCTCAGACTGAAAGCTGCAGGTGACCATGAACGCACCGTTTGAACTACAGCCTGTAACGCGTACGGCCCACTAAGGACTGAACCCCCGCAGGAAGCAGACAAGTTTTAGGTTTCTTTACCTTTCTGCCCTTGTCATTATCAGGAAGGAAGCAGAAGCGAGGGAATCCTCTGCAGGTGAAGGGCTGCCCGGGGTTTGGATGCTCCGGGCCCTAAAGGAGGAAAACAAGCGAAGAAAATCACAGCAGCTGGATCCAAATATGAGCAAAGATTCTGAAAGCTTTAATGAAAAACGCTGGATGTGGAGCAGAAACATCCATATTTATTTACTTTAGAAAACGACTGCAGACTGAACATCGTTTCCAGTAAACTTTCTTTGCATCCTTAGAAAATGTCGCTACTATTTTTGCAGCATAAACTCCCCTGATAGCGTCTGATCTACCCGAGTATTTCTTTATTTTCTTCATCTTTATATTTCCTGTTAAATAGATTTGCTAGAAATAGATCTAGCAGAACTCATCAGCCAAATAAAAAATTGGTACATTAAGTCAATCAGACTCTTTAATTTAACATCCCTTCACCGACTAAGAACCGTAGATCTGCTTCATTAGAATGTACTCATCTACAGAGGCGAGCAGCTCAAAGTCGTTTAAGATGTTAATTGATTTATTTAAAGGAAGAGCAGCAAAGCAGAAACCATTAAAAAAATTTGATAAAAAAAAAACATTAGAACGACTAAATGTTAAATTATTGTCGACATCACCAGGAGAGGCTAAAGAAAGGTGAACAAGCGGAGGGAAAAGCTGCGTCCCAAAGTTTGCATTTCATCTGGAAAACAAGGTCTGAGTCTGAAGAACAGGAGCAGAACTGCCCACATTTCTATACTAGAAGCTTCTTGTTATGTAATAATTTCATTTTGTCGGAGCAGCTCTGGTTTGTGGATCTAAAGAAAGAGCGGGGATCCAGGTGGAAAAAGGCTCCCAGCGTTCTCGTACACCTCGCTCTGCTAGCTGCTCCATCTTCAGTCGTTTTCCAAAATGGCGGTCAGACAAACAAAACCAGCCGCTAAGGAACCAAACAGGAAATGCGCATAGAGTAGAGCGAGTATAGATCTGACCAATCAGAGGCCTCCTGTCTGCGCTCACCTACAATTTTGGAGAGGTGCAGCAGAGTGTCTGCGGAAGGGGCGGGGCATATCTACGTTAACTGCGACACACGCAGACGACCTGGTTTCTGAGGATAAACCAGGCTTTACTTTAGCTAAAGCTAACAGGTCGGGTGCAGATATCTGCGTTCAGACGTTTTGAGTCCGTGTTTTCTTTTCCTCTCCTGCTGCTCCCGTGTCCCGCCTCTCGGTGTGACATCATCGGATCTGCCGCTTTGAGACAACGCACAGCAGCATCAAACGAGAGATACTACCATGTATGTTTAAGTTAAAAGTTAGGAGACGGGTTGGTTAAATGAAAATAGAAAATCAGTTCTTGAGACATACGGAGCTTTTCAGCTAAAAATGGCAACAGATTATAAGTTTATACAAGTTAGTATTATAATGCAAGAAGCTTGAGAAAACAGTTTAAATGTTGCGTTCTTCTTTACTATAAAAGCTTGAATTTTCAGAGGACCATGACTCCCAGTTACAGTTTTTAAATTAACATGTTTTCTTATTGATCAGACAGAATCAGGCTGCAGAGATTCTACAGATCTAGAAATGTTATTTCTGGCTTCATTATATTAGTTAAGTTCATAAATGTTTTTAAACAGAGAAGCAGGGAGAGCTGCAGATTTAAAGGTGAAACCGATTTACTGGGAAATGCAATAAAATATATCTCCAAGTTTATTAGAAAGTTAAAAAGAAAAAAGTATGCTATATTTAAATTGTAGCAAATCCATATTTTTCTGGATGGAATTGAAATTGTACTTCTAGGGATGCATGATTTATTGATTTTGGCATCGGAATCCGCTGTTATTTTTTTTATACATTAATGTTTTTGAGCCCTATAAATATATATAATGCATTAAAAGGCATCTCTAACTATATATAAATATAAATGTGAGTCTATTAAGGTTCTCTTGTGTTTTCAATGATAGGAAAACATTCAATAAATAGATGTTTGAGCTAAAATACAAAAACCTGTTCAGGTGGATTAACTGTAGCTCCATCAGCCCCCACCCTTAGAGCGCCCCCACCCTTAGAGCGCCCCCACCCTTAGAGCGCCCCCACCCTTAGAGCGCCCCCCACCCTTAGAGCGCCCCCACCCTTAGAGCGCCCCCACCCTTAGAGCGCCCCCCACCCTTAGAGCATCCCCCACCCTTAGAGCGCCCCCACCCTTAGAGCGTCCCCACCCTTAGAGCGCCCCCACCCTTAGAGCGCCCCCCACCCTTAGAGCGCCCCCCACCCTTAGCGCGCCCCCACCCTTAGAGCGCCCCCACCCTTAGAGCGCCCCCACCCTTAGAGCGCCCCCACCCTTAGAGCGCCCCCCACCTTAGAGCGCCCCCACCCTTAGAGCGCCCCCACCCTTAGGAGCGCCCCCCACCCTTAGAGCGCCCCCACCCTTAGAGCGCCCCCCACCCCTTAGAGCGCCCCCCACCCTTAGAGCATCCCCCACCCTTAGAGCGCCCCCACCCTTAGAGCGTCCCCACCCCTTAGAGCGCCCCCCCCACCCTTAGAGCGCCCCCCCACCCTTAGAGCGCCCCCCACCCTTAGAGCGCCCCACCCTTAGAGCGCCCCCACCCTTAGAGCGCCCCCACCCTTAGAGCGCCCCCCCACCCTTAGAGCCTCCCCACCCTTTAGAGCGCCCCCACCCTTAGAGCGCCCCCACCCTTAGAGCGCCCCCACCCTTAGAGCGCCCCCCCCACCCTTAGAGCGCCCCCCCACCCTTAGAGCGCCCCCACCCTTAGAGCGCCCCCACCCTTAGAGCGCCCCCACCCTTAGAGCGCCCCCACCAGCTTTCATTCCAAAGTTGGGCCCTTGCCTGGATGCCAGGTGGGATGCTGTAGATGATCTGAATGGTGCCGCAGTCGGGGTGTCCAGGCAGCGACTGAGCCACGCTGTAGATCTCCATCTTGCCTTTTGGCTGCGTGCCGGTCTTCTCTCCGTAGATCGTTTTACAGGATGGACACTGTAAGCTGCCGTCCTGCAGAGACGAGACAAATCTTTAAGCTGAACTCCCCCGACCTCAGATGAACGACCGAATCAAACATCTTCATTTAATTTAAAGGAAAAGTCGCTCACATTCAGAATTCAAACTTCTGAAAGTTCTTTAAATCTAAAATGATTCCATCCTGTTTAATAAATGATCAGTGTTTTTAATTCAGAGTAATTTTCCTGTGAATGTGTTTTACTGGAGGCATCCATGTTTGTCAAAGAACACTACTGCCACCTACTGGTTAGTGACATTGTCACGGTGCGGTATCGGCTGTTGATCAAGTCCCAGTGCTGTATCTGGTGTTTGTCACAACGCGCTATTATCCAAGTCATTTTGAAAACATTCTTCTTCCAAATGTTGGCTACATATTACGGGTTTTTTCTCTGGCCAGAAGTTCGATGGCAAATCCTCCCTCTTCAAGTTGGCGATCCAACGACCAACCCGTCCGTGGAGGATCAGGAATCAGAAAGGTGGAATAACTCTTTTTTTCACTTTTACCTGATGTATTCCAGCATCCAGCTGCCATGCACGTGGGCATTGTCAGTTTCACTATAGCTCTGGTGAATTTCAATGGTGAAGTCCTCTGGAAATCTTCAATAATTGTTGTTGATTGCAGATGTGTCTAGTAGTTCCCATTGATTTAGCTTGGAAAGCGGGGAGAATGGCGCTAGGCTTACCGCACCGTGACGTCACTGCTGGAAGATGGCAGGTTACTATATTTGGGCAAACACGGCCGCTCCCAGACTCAGTGATCATGACGAAAATAACGTTAAATTCATTAAATCACTGCGAACGTGTTAGTTTGAGGTATAAATAATGATCCGTTGATTATTCCTCACTAACCAGGCTTTTCCTTTAAAATGTAGATATTTCGCCCTCTGAGGTAGAGTTAAGGTAACAGCCAATCAGAGCCGCTCTTTACCTTTGTTCCATTGTTGTACATGGCCAGCATGCAGAGCATGTGCAGAGTGTGACCACATTTGATGAACTTCCCCACAGTTTCTGGCAGGATGCTCTGGCCCCCCTCCTCTGAGGACGGCATCTCGTAGCTGGACGGATTGGACAGCTGATCCATGCAGATGATGCAGTCCTGACGGGTAATATAGAGTTAGGCAGGTGGAGAAAAACAAGCAAACACACTAGTCTGTCTCAAACACAAAGGCATTAAAAAAAAAAACATGATTTGAAAAATAAAAACACGTTTATGTCAACGAACATGAAATAATTCAATCTCTGTAGACGCTGCTGCTATGAGAACCCCTGAAAACAAGCAGGCGGTGTGTCCCATGAAAATCCACATCGTCATGCAAACAAACACTTCCTGTTTACTCCAGCCATACAGCCAATAAGCTAGGGCTTCCTAAAACAGGCAAATCTGTTTTTCTAGCATTAACGATTTCAATTCTATTCTATTCAGTTTATTTCTATAGCTCCAATTCACATCTGCCATCCAGTCAGATTGATTCAAAGTTTTCTAAGGAAAACCAGCTGATTGCATCGACTCATTGACTCTTCAGCAATCCCTCACACTAAGCATGCTTGTAGCGACAGTGGAGAGGAAAAACTCCCTTTGAACAGGAAGAAACCTCCAGCAGAAACAGGCTCAGTGTGAGCGGCCATCTGCTGAGGCCCACTGGGGTTCAAGGAGACAGAACATTAGTGTTCATGTGTTCCTCAGATGCTCATTACATTTCCATTGCCAAGTCTGACCAAGAGTCATTTAGTGGAATCCTGATGTCTATTCGCTGCTAGCTGTTTCAAAGAGGGTAAAGAATCATTTAACTAAAGGTTACTGGTTCTTGATTAAGCAAATGATTTAATAAAACATTATTTGGCCAAATAATGTTTTATACACCTCATGGATCATCATTGTGAATTGGTCTGAAAACATTCCAATTTCTCTAAATTAGTGAAAAGCTAATTTGATCACATCCCAAATTCTTCCAGATAAACTTTGGTTTCAAACACAGAATCCATCTTAAACTGTAATATGTTTTCCAACCATGTTCCCCTTCCTCTTAGTACATATTAGTTTAGTTTAGTTTAGTTTCACTAGTTTTGGTTAAGAGTGTTAAACTGAAATATGTTTGACTTGGAGCTGATTGATTTTTGTTAATAAACTCTTATATTTTGAACAGAAGATAAATTTATTCCATGAATGTGCAGAATTAACTGTTTGACCATGATTAGAGCTCGAATCACTCTTTTATTTATTGTTCTAACACACAGTTGGTAGGACTGTGTGTCATAAACAATATACAACAGCCGAAATAATACCTGATTAAATAAGGTATGTTACCCCCCCTACCAGGGAGGGCAATAAACATCTTATAGTATCAGAAATATTAATTCCCAGGTGGCTGGGTATTAAATAGAACATAAAATCACAACATTAATATCCCAACTAACATTTAGAAAAAGCAACGAAACATTTGGCTGTTGCAGTAAATTCATCTATGATACAAATGAAGGCAATCCTTTCCATTTAATCTCTCCTTGCTTATAAACCTGGACATTGACGGCTGGAGAACATATAGGAAAGCTTTACCTCCTCTGGAACCTCTGCCACCACCTCCATGTAGCGCTGAATCACATCCTCAGACCTCTGAGCCGACGCTGGAGGGGAGGGGCAAGAGATAAAATATAGAAAACGACAAAAACATTTAGAAATGAGCCAGTAAGCATAAGAAAAACAGTGAATTTTCTAACTACAGGTTCCTTTTTTTATAAACAATGATTATTTCCATCATAAAAGCCATCTGGTGAGAAGAAGACAAACAAAGTGGCGTGATGAGAAGCATGATGGATGGAGACGGACATGAATGACGGGGAACATCAAACCTTCCTCGCAGGGTGAAGAGCGTTTCAGATAACTCTCAACTCAACGTTTACATTTTCCCATCAAGTCACCTTGATCTTTTCATCTAAGCTGAAAGTTGGAGTTTATTCCAGATTAACAAAAAAAATGAATAATGCAAATTACTGCATGACAACAGATGGTTTCTAATGGAGCCGATATTTATCAGGCTGCTAAACGTCACGCATTCGCCCTGCACACTTTCACACCCAATAAAGATGGAAGCAGCTAAGATGCTAAAGTGCATGCAGGGCTGAAAATGTTAAAATGATTAAATAAAGAAAAAAGATTTTAAAAAAAAGCTGGTAGAAAAAACATTGAGCCTGGCGGCCCTGTCTGTCACCGGCTTATCTTTATCTATTTATAGAAACACAGTCACATGGTGTTTCATCCACACGCCTTTAAAGTTTCTAAAACAAGTTAAAAAATAATTTTTTTTCACAAATACATTTTGTTTTATAGGTGTGTAAACAAATAAAATGAGATTTAAAATTCCACCTGACTCTGTGGGAGTGATGCTACAGCAGGTACTCAGTTTTAGCCCCGCCCCCTAATGGCCGGTGCCCTTTTTATGACGTCATCATATGGCAACTCCACTCGGACAAACTGTATTACACCCATTTCTTAAGGATCGAAACTCTTTTGGATCCTCAACATATTATTCCTTATATTTGCTATTATTTTACATTTCATCTGCGATTTAAAGTAGCTGAAAGTAGAAAACAATCATCGTCAGTCTGGAAGGAAAGTCCCGCCTTCTAAGCCGGACTGAGCTCGTTTTTATTTTTACTAAGATCTGAGGGCAGAGGAGGACAAATGCGACATCTTAAAAACGGACTTTCGTAGAAATTTTAAAACAAGTTATTCTATCTGTAGAAAGTGAACAGTTGACACGAACTTAAAAGTAGTGTAGCTTAGCGTGGCTAACAGACCGAGCTAAAAGAGGCTAACCTGCTAGCTACTGAGCACAGCTAGCCACAGCGCTAACCAGCTCCGCCCTTTAAAATCGTGATCACATTTCCTCCCAGCACTCTGCCCACTAAAACCTCTGAGAAACAAACACGCTTCAACTTATTCAGTCTAAATTTGCTTGACTTATAGTCAAGATGTGGATCTATAAAGTCTGAGGTTCATCCAGAGTTTCAAATGGGCTTTCATGGTGTTTTGCAGTGTTTTTTTTTGGAAAAAGAAGTTGTCATGGCTAAAATTGTTTTTTTTTATCACCTATAAATCAGACATGGTGACATTTAAAATTGTGGCTCCACCTGAAAAATATTCCTCAATGTCTTCCTGTCACACAAATTATATTATAGTTTATAGTTTCAGGTGGAATTTGCTCCTAAGACCCTCAGGGCTTAACCACAATTAAAAATCTCTTTGGATCAGGACTTCCTGTAGGGCGGCGGTAGAGGGCAGCAATAATCAATACTGTCCATCACATTTCTCTTTCACAATAAGAGACGACTGCTTCCTTTATAAACATGCAAACCTCGCCTTTAACCTGATATGAATTAGTTTGTAAAGTTTGATAGTAAAGAACACGCGGACACCTGGTAATAAAGTCGTCCTTCAATTTTGGTCTGTTGGCGAAGAGATGCAGGGCACGACAGGACTTCAGCCCCCCTCATCTAAATGATACGGATTTGATCTTTTGGACTCTAATTAAACTGCATTAAAAAACGTGCATCCAGATATGTTCCAGTTACATTGCAGTTAGCTAAAGAAAATGCAGTAAATTAATTTTTTTTTTTTAGTTGTTTCATTTCAGTTTTAGCTGGTTTAATTTAATAAGAAATCTTCTTTAATGATCTATCTGATTATTGATAGAAAAAAATATTCAACATCATCAGTCATCATTCAACAACCCATTTCAGAAAGACAGCTTGGAGCTCCGCCCAGCAGATGACGGTCGACCAGCTCCACCAATCAGCAACCAGAGTCCACTTTGACATCCTGCCCAGTTTGATGCTGCTGTTAAAAGATTTCCTGATTTGTCAAACTGACGCTAAAGTAGAACTTCACATGATGCTCCACATTCCTCATTTTAGGGAAGAAAGAGCTTCTTGGAAGAGTTGTCATAAAATACAACTTTATTCTCAAAATTTTAGGACTTTATTCTCGTAACGTTGCGACTTCATTCTCGAAACAGAAGAAAATAAAATCTCTAGCCTGCTAATACCCCGTCGTACAAAGCAGAGCTTGTAAATGATGGGAATTAATGGATTACATTGATTCCACTAAATTAAATATTAGAAGAATAAATAGTTGATTTCCAAGGTTGGAGTCACGACCCACCGTAGGTTCTTAAGATTAACTTCAGAAATTAATTTATAAAATAAACCTTCATGTTAAAGTGCTAAAATATATGCAAACACCAGTTTAAAATGGGAAAAAATAACTACCTTGGTTACTGATGCTGATTGTAATTTTATTACACCTGTTTTTAATTGATTTTGTTAGTATAATAAACCAATAGTTTGGCTCTTGAGTCGACTGGTGGGTCAGAATCTAAACAGACCATCAGTCAGTAATATACTTTTGGCTTCTCATTTATACAGGATTCCTCTAGAAAACAATTAAGCTAAGATTAGATCAGATGAAGAGCATACATTTTAAATCTGTTCAGATTTTTAGGAGCATCAGCCTTTACTGGGGCCGATCGATCACATGAACATGAACTTGTTCTAGACTCTTCCTCTGACACCTTCTGGAGCCTCATCTCCATCATCTACATTTCACAGAACGTCTGACGAGCTTCCTTCGTCCACCATATAGGGAGGTGCAGCTCTAATCATTTACCACATCCTAGCAGGGCCGCTATTTTCTTTCCCTTCTCTACCTCAGTTGTGCTGCTTTGAGTCGGTCAGTCGATAAACTCCTGATGCATTCTGGGAAGTTATGTTTGCAGCTACTGATCAAAGGGGTCTGAATACTTTTGAAAGGCACAGAACCCTTTTCTAAGGCGTTGAAAGACAAACCATTTCTTTTTTTTAACTGGACATGGGACCCTTTTTTGGACTACTTGAATGCGCCTGCAGCTCAGAGAAGGAGACTGGGTTTATTACACTTAGCTTGGCTACAAGAGGACAATTTGTAGTTTTATGTTTGTTTTTTTATGCTTTTGGGCTCCCTTTATTTATTAAAAAATTTTTATTTTTATTTTTTATATGTGTGTATATCCTATGTATGTAGAGTGTTTAATTTTTGATGTTTTCCTGCTTTGCAAAAAAGTTCGGTAAAAAAAAAGAGGCACAGAACGTCGCCTGATGTGGAGGTAGAGTTCAGAGGTGGGGACTCGAGTTTGTGACTCGTACTCGAGTCGCACTTAAGTCGCATATTTAATGACTTTAGACTCGACTTAGACTCGTGATTTCTGACTTGTGAACAATATTTTATTTTTAAGTGTTTTTTGTTTTACTAACTTGACTGATCGCCGCTCGCCTTACCCGCACACAGCAGAGGTAAAAAAAAAAAAAAAAACGGCAGAGTGGCAGTCAAACTGTCACGTAGCTCTGACGTCACTGACGCAACGCTACGTGACATATACGCCCGCGCGCATGCATGCATGATCAACAAGCTAAGCTTTAAAAACTTCATGGCCGTCGTAGAGGAGAAATATGTTGTGAATAATGTTGTGAATTGGCACTAAATAAATAAACTGAATTGAATTTAAAATCCTGCCCGCCAAGTCGGTTCTGTCTGTTCCAGAGCATTAAGTTACAAAAAGTTATTGCCACAATGTTTCTTTTATGAAAGAATTGTTATTGTCCTGATATTTATTTAGGGTTTTTCTTTATTTGTTGCAGTTCCTAACCTCATATGTATTAATAAAAAGCAGGATTGTGATTTTTTTTTTTTCCACAGTCCTCATTTTCACTTAAAAATAAAAGAGCAGACATTTACTCCTAAAACTAGAAAAAGTTGTAACCACAAATGTCAGGTAAATACTGTAAGAAAAAAAATTAAGATGCAAAATTTAACTGGAAAAAAAATTGAGTGTGTGCTTTTTAAAATTGTATTTTTCATTTACCAGTTCAAGATAATGATCATTCCATAGATATAATAGTGACCTTTAAGCTATACCGTCTCAGTGACGGAGATGAAAACACAAGGAGAAACAAGCAAGCACGCAAATTATTGCACTTATTTTATTAATTAATTATTTATTAATCGAGCGATTAGAATTTATTGTGCGATTAATTGATAATTGTGACAAGCCTTCTCAAGACTTGACTTGATCTTGCAAAAAATGACTTGTGAACATGTCTGGTAGAGACACATCGGAGGTTATTGTGAAATGTTGAGATAAAGGGGGGCAGGACTTTAGCCACCGAGCTGCTTCATGTTCTAATGATCTAAAAAGGGAGGGTGGTCAGTTTTACTGAACCTCTGCGGCACATTAGGACATTAAATGCTTTAAGCGGCGACACTGATGTAAACTGCACAATGAGATGACAAACCAGACTGTGAGGAGGATTAGTGGTAGGACACATTAAGACAAATGGATGTTATGGAGGATGAGATACTCCTCAAGCTCATGGAGATGAGGAGGTGGATTTTGGCTACCTCTCCTGTGCTGCCTCTTTGCTCTCCTAACTGAACTGCTGCTGCTGCTGCTGGGGGGCCTGCTGGCTGTGGGGAGGAGAGGAGGAGGAGGAGGAAGAGCGAAGGGAGCAGGCTGCTGATGATGATGATGATGCTGCTGCTGCTGCTGAGGGAGGGGGGCGGAGGTGAAGTGCACGCCGAGTCCCACTGCTGACATCAAAATGGAGGCCATGCCTGGAGCGAGGGGGGAGGGGGTGGGGGGGGGAATGGGTCGGGATGAGGCGGGGTGGGGGCAGAGGTGGAGAGCCAGTGAGGGGTGCAGGAGCAGAAAAGAACAAATCGAAAGAATGAGTAATGTAGCAGCGGCTGATGCTTTCACTGCGACGCACAAAGTCAGGCGGCAAAACTTTCAACTTCAGTCACAGGTTTTGGTTCTAAAGGTGGTTGCCTGGGCAACCGTCTGCTTAACAGGTTTACAGCTGTTCTCTGGACCCAAAGCTTTACATTGTTCTTAGAGAGCAGATCTTAATCAATAAGGATGTAGAACTTCGACAAGACAAAAATTAGAAAGGTATCCAAGGAGCCCCAAAGGTGATAAAAATCCAAGCAATGAGCAAATCACACGTCTCCAAACCAGTTCTAAAAATGCCTGATAAATTCAAATAGTTCTAAAGTTTCTGTCCTTTTTTCATCGTTTTGTAAAAAGCAGACGAAGCTTCAGGAAGGAGAAACTGACTGAAATATCTCAGCCTGAAATCCTGGTATCTGTGAGTGATCTTTGCAGCAGGTCAAAGTTCTGAGACATGAATTTGGTTGGAAGAAGCGTCGGTTTCACCCTCTGAGCTCAGCGTTTGAAGAACAGAAACAGGCAGGATGCCCGGTCAGCAGAGGAAAATACCGCAAACTTAAAAGTCAGCAGCTGCAACAACTAGAGATGAAGAAACCATGAATGATGAGATAAAACCATCCAATATTCCTCAATGGAAAGTTTATCCACTGAAATCTATTCCCTGGATTGCTAGTTGCCCAAAAAAAAAAAAAAATGAAGCCACCGTCGGCCATATTGGTACTCCCCACTGAAACAGAAACACGTAGTCAAAATGCCTCCCTGTTCAGCATCTGGCTGCTAAAACCGACAGTTTTCTGTCTGCAGGAAGACGTTCCACATTATATGTTACAGTCAGTGGATGAACTAAGCAATAAATCCATCTATAGCCGATGGATCCTATAGTATAGCAGGGGTTGATGTTAAGGATTTTTACCACTTGCCCTTTGGGACCTTTGGGCAAGTGACTTTCACATTTCATTTGCCCAGAAACCATTTTTACTTGCCCAGTATAATGATTGATAAATATAGTTCCTAATATTCATTTTTGTATAAATATCAATTAAACATGTTTTTTAAATGTTTTTTGTAATTCAGTATTTTTTAAGTTTCCAGGTTCCTGGTGTGTATCTGCATGCGTCAGATAATGAATTCAAGCCTACATTACCGTGTTAACATGCTTTTCAATCCATCCTGCACATTCTTTTCAAACTAAACTTTGCTTTAAAATAGGGATGCAGGATATTGGGATTTTGGCCGATATCCGATATGCCGATATTTTAAAACTCATGTAGCCGATAACCGATATCGATACCGATGTTAAAGCTGGACAAAAATAAGTAGTCATTGAAAATAGCAGTTTTGTTATCCATTTCTGACACTTTGAAAAATAATATACTCAAATATATTTTCATATGCTGATATCAAATAGATTTTTAAAAACGCGGTATCGATCTATTTTACTTTCAGAATCTGGTGAAATTTCATCGTTCTGTTACAAACTCTCGTGATATTTTGCAAATTCTTGTGAGATTTTGTTAGTAAAATAGATCGATACCGCGTCAATATATCAACGTATAAAAATATGGCAACATTTGGTGAATTTTGGGGGGATTTCGTAGCATAACGATGACATATAGCAATATTTCATTAGTAAAAGAGATTGATATGGTGTTTTTAAATGGCAATATATCAGCATATGAAGATATTGGGATATTTTAATGGATCAATATTTTTTCCCTCATCTTTAAAAGTTTTTAAGTCTGTAAAAAAGAAGTTTTTGAGTAAGAAGAAGTAGTTTTTTTTTGTTTTTAGACTTTAGAAACTCAGAAGCTGATCAAATATCGGGTTAAATATCGGTGGGGTGGCCGATGTCCGATATTCAGTTTTAAGGCCGATACCGATGGGGGGCCGATTATATCCTGCATCCCTACTTTAAACTGTTGTGTGCTTAGAAAAATATAAATTGTAATGTTAAAAATCAAAACAAAAACTTGACAGGGTAAAAACTTACTCTACTACTACTCACCAATCTAACATGTTTAGCTCTATAACATTTGAATGCACCTCTCCAATGTCTCAGAGAAAAAAATGTAATGAACATTTTCTAATGTATGACCTGCATCACTGTACAGAAGACTGCCATATGATAGAAATATTTACACTGATCGCATACAATTATTATTATTATTTTCCTAATCCCTGACTGATCATTTTTAATCTAGCATGTATTATAGTATAGATTAAATTCATCATCCAGCTGCTGCTCTGCAGAATTATCTCCCAAAGAGCTAAGTCACGCCATCTGGCGGAAAATCACGCTGCTTTTTCAAATCACGCGAGAATGTGTACAAAACAACAAAGATGGCGCCGGCAAAGCTTGAGGGTCGTTTTCAGCGAATGTCGGTGATTTTAAAGTAATTTTGAGTGATAAATATTTTTTTGGGATCAATTTGTACTCTCCCAACAATAAAAACTACTTTCCCTGGGAGATCGGGTGATGGTTAACATCGAGCCCTGTATAGTCTGTAGCGTAAATACTTTGGATACCTTTTATAAAATGAATCACCCGAGTGACTGAAATGCATTTCCCACATATAGACTTTAGCTCCTTTAAGCCGGGCATACACCGTGCGATATTTTCAATCGTTGCACGCAGCTACAGCTCACATTGTACGACGGAACCGCACGGTTTAAAAGTTCCCAGTTCACGATGTTTGTTCTCAAACTGTGAGACCTGACGCTCTGATGCGATCGACCTACTCACACTGTATGTCTAAAAACCAGGTGGGACTCAGCACTGAGAGATGGTGCTGGTTGGACTCATCAATCTGGAAGAAGTAGAACTCCCTTGTTTATACATGTGCAGTGCTGGAGGTTCTGGTAAACTCTGCTTCCACAGCAGAATTCGTTCACGACCACCTCATGACGTCCGACTAAATTTAAAACATGTTTGATCTTCTCCCGACCTTACGACTTCTGATCAGGAGGTAGTCGTGAGAGGTTGATCGCCCCTCGTTACCCCCTGTATGCTACACGATGCAGGACGCACAATGAGGTTGAAACTCGGCTCAATTGAAAATAATTCTCGCACGACTGGAGAAAAAAAAAATCGTACAATGTACGCCCGGCTTTAGCTCAAATCACCATGTTATCAGCACCATCGCAGGTCCAGTGTTTGTGTTTGTTTCCATTTATCCTTGTACTTAAACTGATTCAGCAACTCGTCGTCAGGAGGTTTTACTGCACTCTACTAAACGCTGCTGATGTGGACGTGCTCTTCCTGGTTCGAAGCTTTTTGGTTGTTTGGATTTAGTGAAGCAATGATCCAAACAGGCTCTGTGAATTAATTCGATAATAAAAGGTTTTATTTTACAGGGTGAAGTGTTAGACATCAAGTCTGCCAGAAATACAAGCCATCTTCCAAAGTATTGGGTTCCTTTTCTAATGTGGTGGTTTGTTCTAACCTGACCTGACCGCCAGATGGATTTGCTCCGCATGTCCATCTGGAAACCTTCCGTTGAAGTAATTTTGGGAAGGGGCGAAAATACTGGTTAGTAGGGGTGTAAATAATAATCGTTTTGTATCGATGCATCGATCCAAAAGCCGAAGATCCGATGCATCGACACGTCCGCAAGATAATCGATTAATGTTTTTTTTTTTTTCCTCCGGTCTATTTTTATCCATTTGCTCCTGGGCGTAATTCTTCCTCCCGTGCTGCGGTGGCGCTAAACCTATTTTCCCCTCCTACCGCGCTTCCTGGTTATACTCTTACAGCAGTTTGTTGCAGCAAGCTTCACACAGACATTTTTAAATTATGCTCAGTATTGAAGCGTGGTCTGTGCTACACGCTGTGGGTCTAGATACGGCCGAGGCGGAGAGGAAGTGGGGGCGAGTTTAGTCCGACGACGGAGGGACAATGGGGCAAAAAGAGCGGAGATTCAGCTGGAAAAAGGCTCCCAGCGTTCTCGCGCACCTCGCTCTTCTAGCGGGTCAAACTTCACGAGTTGTTTTCCGCAATTTCGGTCATAAAAACAAAACTAGCCGGCCTCCTGTCTGGTGCACTGTTTGCGGTCAGCTACAATCTGGGAGAGGTGCAGCGGAGCGTCTCTCAAGGGGCGGTGACGTCAACACTCTGGAGCCTTCTTCTTCTTCTTTTTTTTAATGGCGGTTGGCAAACAACTTATAGCTGCATTACCGCCACCTTCCAGAATGGAGTATGGACCAGACAAACTATTATATTCTCCCTAAAATACCCGTTCTTCTTAGAAAATTAAAAATACCCCCAAAAACTACATCCCCAGATGACCTTTGAAACAATTCCCTTATATGTAGTTTATTTTTATTCCTGTCTAACTCTCTACACAACATCTCTCTTTCCTGAATATATTTATTACATTCTAAAAAAATATGTTGGACAGTTTCTCTGGAGCCGAGGTATTGCATTGAACTCATTACACTGATATTGTGCAGTATTTTTGCAGTATTTTTTGATGCAACTTTTCTACTTCTGTTATTTGCTGTTGTTTCTAAAGAAAATGCATAATGATATTACAGCTTTCATTGATTTATTTCAAACTTGAAACTTTGTTTAGCCTGTAAGGTGTAAAAAAAAATAAAAATAAATAATAATAAAAAAAAAATTAATCGATTAATCGAATCGAATCGTGGTGTATTCTTAAGTATCGAAAATAATCGAATCGTTGGATCAGGAAATCGATACTGAATCGAATCGCCATGATGGATGTGATTTACACCCCTACTGGTTAGCTGATTGGCCTATGTTGGTGATAGACGGGCCAAATAAACCAATCAGATCAACGAAGCATATGACGTACTAACAGAGCGACGACGAAGAGGAGCCAATTGATAGATCAAACTCTTGGTGAAACCAGTCGGGAGAAGAGCAAAAACATCTTTTCCTCTGAGAAAAGCCTCCAGAGCAGTGTTTTGCTCTTCTTTCAGTGAAGAAATACTCTGTAATTCCGATAAAACTTGCTCGATAGCCACGCTAACGCTAGTTTCATCGGCTGAAGCCGCCATGTTCTTTAGACTGAACTGTCGCGCTTCTCGTTGCGTCAAACCTCACACCGCCTCAAAGCCAACGCTGATTGGACGTTCGTTTGGTGAACGGCTCCAAATTTTCTTTAACGGAGAGTCTCCAGACTGATCTGCGAGTGAAACCTTGAAAGCTCGAAAGATCAGGATGGTCTCACAAGGCTAGGATTGTGCAGCGAAGCAAACTAAATCCGTCTTTTCACTGGATCCTTTTAGGAAGACTTTTAATTTGTGTATTCGCAGGATTTTAATTTCATTTTCTAGGTTAACCCTTCATAAAGCAAGTAACCCTTTTTGATCAATTGCATACCCCTTACAAATAGAGTCCTCCCCCCGTCCCTCAGTGAGGTCTAGAAGCACAAGATCTATATCCAGCCATTCAGCATAGATGCTGCTACATGGCTGTATATATTTTTTTGGCATTTGACCAATTAGATGAGCCCTTAAATGATAGATTACCTACTGGAAATTAAGTTGGAGAAGAAAAAAAAGGTAAAAAGCTAATTGAAAAGTTAAAGTTAATAAGTCTAGTTAACATATCATAATCATATTTAGATTTATAAACTAAAAAATGTCAGTGCCAGTATCAGCATTAATGCATCTACGGTTATGTTGGACCAAAAACTAAAAAAAAGTCTCTTTCTCAGAGTGTTTTTCATTAATTCCTTCTAGAAGAACTTTTGATATTTTTCTTAATACATTTGGGAAAGTTGGCGTTTCTTGTTATTACATTGACATTAATTTTTGCTATAAAAATATCCTTATTTTTTGAATGTTACAAAGGTAATAATGTCTTGTTCTGGATTCCAATAACTATTGGCTTGAAATTTTATTTTTTTAAGTATTTCACTGAGCGCCCTATAAAGGGCATTAACATTAACATGTTCAATTCAACCTTAAAGGAAATGCACCATAGATGAAATAATGCACGCTAAAAGGCAACACAAGAACCAAGAAATAAGTTTTAAGAAGTTTAGATCTTCACTGTCAGTAGTGATGTAAAGTCCTTTTTTTGTTTAGGCCAGCAGCCGTGAGCCATAAATACGTTTCCAACCAATGTAGCATCTTTTCTGAAACCTTGAGGCTTTTGGGATAACTGCGTATTTGTACAGCTGCCTCAGCTTAACACCCACAATCTCTTCCTCCTCTTAAGGACACGGAGCTGCAGCCGTAAATCAGACACAGGACACAAAAAAAATCGCCTTTAAACAAGCAATGAAAAAAGAATCAGGGTAAAATCAGCAGAGGTTCTGCAGCTGGAGTCCATCATTCTGTTCCGGTACAGACGTGGTTTTTAGCATTAACATGGCTACAAGTTTGGCTTTAATTAAAACGAGTGTTCATTAGGGCTTAATGAATACTCAAACTGTGCATTAGGAGAAAAAGCCGCACAGGTGACCTTCCTTTTTAAATTATTTACTGAGAGTCTCAGTTCGGAGCTCCTGCTTAATGAGGTTCTGGTCCAGCAGCCTCTGATTGGACGGATCCAGTCAGCTTGTCACAGCTCAGAACCCGACTTTAAATTAAAAAGCTGCACAGGAGAGTAAACCAGGGTGGCAGAAATCATTTTATCTTCTACTGTTTAGAGACACTAAATTCACAGTGTTAAACATTAGGTATAACTTTTATCTTTTTCAACTGGATAAAAAAAAAAAAAATAAAAAAATCAGTATAACATCAAATGCCTTGATTTTACTTTGCTGAATAACTGAACAACAAATTAAAGGAAAAGTCCGCTCACATTCAGAATACAAACTTCTGACAGTTCTTTTAATATGAAATTATTCCATCCGGTTCAATAAATGATCAGTGTTTTTAATTCACAATAATTTTCATTTGAATCTGCTTTACTGGAGGCATCCATGTTTTTTTTTTTACTGATCAACACAAAATTCATTAAATCGATGCGAACCTTTTAGTTTTAGGTATAAATAATGATCCATTGATTATTCCTTGTTGACGTGACTTCTCCTTTAAGGAAAGTCTTATAACTGAGGCATCTGTTAATAAAAAACACAATTTTAGTGCTAGGAGCTCAGATTGAACATTTTGTTCAATCTATTCCTTATTAAAGCATGATGACTTGACATAATTTTAAATTCTGCTGACGCTACTGAACGGAGCAGCATAATTAGGCCTTAAATTATGAAGGTTTTCTGTTGCAGCTGAGTCACAGTGAGCTGCTAGATACTCTACTTTTATGATCTGAACTGAAATACATTCTATATATTAAATGAAAAAGTTCTTGGAATGAAAAGTAGCAGGTAACTCATAAAAGGGGAAACAAATAACCCCAAATACAAGACGACACATCTTTCAAGGTTTGTCCACCACAGCAGGCTTAGTGCTTGAGTTGATTTTTTAATCATGCATTAGTTCAGTAACAAACAAAGTAGAAATTCAGAATGTAAGAAGATTGTTTTCTTTGCAAAATAGTAGCATTAATGACTGACTAGTTAAACACCTGGGGCCTAACAGCGGGCATTTTTAACCAGTACTGGCTGGCCAATAGAGGGCGCTTGAGCGCCGCCCCATCCACCCGATGACCCTGTTTATACTTCAAAAAAATATTTATATATTAAATTTGTTTTATGATTTAATTTTAACGTTAGCCCGTCTGCAGCGGCCAGGGCTAACGTTAGCCCGTCTGCAGCGGCCAGGGCTAAGGTTAGCCCGTCTGCAGCGGCCAGGGCTAAGGTTAGCCCGTCTGCAGCAGCCGGGCTAAAGATAGCTCGTCTGCAGCGGCCAGGGCTAAAGATAGCTCGTCTGCAGCGGCCAGGGCTAAAGATAGCTCGTCTGCAGCGGCCAGGGCTAAAGATAGCTCGTCTGCAGCGGCCAGGGCTAAAGATAGCTCGTCTGCAGCGGCCAGGGCTAAAGATAGCTCGTCTGCAGCGGCCAGGGCTAAAGATAGCTCGTCTGCAGCGGCCAGGGCTAAAGATAGCTCGTCTGCAGCGGCCAGGGCTAAAGATAGCTCGTCTGCAGCGGCCAGGGCTAAAGATAGCTCGTCTGCAGCGGCCAGGGCTAAAGATAGCTCGTCTGCAGCGGCCAGGGCTAAAGATAGCTCGTCTGCAGCGGCCAGGGCTAACGTTAGCTCGTCTGCAGCGGCCAGGGCTAAAGATAGCTCGTCTGCAGCGGCCAGGGCTAAAGATAGCTCGTCTGCAGCGGCCAGGGCTAAAGATAGCTCGTCTGCAGCGGCCAGGGCTAAAGATAGCTCGTCTGCAGCGGCCAGGGCTAACGTTAGCTCGTCTGCAGCGGCCAGGGCTAACGTTAGCTCGTCTGCAGCGGCCAGGGCTAACGTTAGCTCGTCTGCAGCAGCCAGGGCTAACGTTAGCCCGTCTGCAGCGGCCAGGGCTAACGTTAGCTCGTCTGCAGCAGCCAGGGCTAACGTTAGCCCGTCTGCAGCAGCCAGGGCTAACGTTAGCTTGTCTGCAGCAGCCAGGGCTAACGATAGCTCGTCTGCAGCAGCCAGGGCTAACGATAGCTCGTCTGCAGCGGCCAGGGCTAACGTTAGCCCGTCTGCAGCGGCCAGGGCTAACGTTAGCTCGTCTGCAGCGGCCAGGGCTAACGTTAGCTCGTCTGCAGCGGCCAGGGCTAACGTTAGCCCGTCTGCAGCGGCCAGGGCTAACGTTAGCTCGTCTGCAGCAGCCAGGGCTAACGTTAGCCCGTCTGCAGCAGCCAGGGCTAACGTTAGCTCGTCTGCAGCAGCCAGGGCTAACGATAGCTCGTCTGCAGCAGCCAGGGCTAACGTTAGCTCGTCTGCAGCGGCCAGGGCTAACGTTAGCTCGTCTGCAGCAGCCAGGGCTAACGTTAGCTCGTCTGCAGCAGCCAGGGCTAACGTTAGCCCGTCTGCAGCAGCCAGGGCTAACGTTAGCTCGTCTGCAGCAGCCAGGGCTAACGATAGCTCGTCTGCAGCAGCCAGGGCTAACGTTAGCTCGTCTGCAGCAGCCAGGGCTAACGTTAGCCCGTCTGCAGCAGCCCTCTCTCTGCATAGCGGCGTGTGAAGGACCGCTGGCTCTGATGGAGATTTTTTGTTTTATTTGGCAAAACGTTAATTTGATTTGCGTTTCTCTGACTGTGTTCATTATTATTCCTCCACTAAATGAAAAAAGTATGATTTTATTATTATCAAGAGACTATTAATACCAGTAGGTGAAATGCAGCCCCAGACGAGCTTTGAATGTGGTGATTTCATCAGTACGCTTCTGTTCCAACTGACCCAGATTTATGCTTCGTGCTCCCGTTCTCCCAGAGTCCAGACTTTCCTGTGTTCTTTTCAAGTGTTTTTATAATGTTTTGTTGTTAGTATTCATATAAATATACTGATGTAATAACTTAGTATACGTTTGATTGTTTTTTGGTAAACGTCTATGGGGGAAAACTCCCCCAGCCGCCGCTTTTTTTGTTTGTTTTTAACAGAAACAAATCTGCAGGGAAGCTGCTTTCATGCATTAGTGATAAAAAGAAAAATCATTCATCACCTTTTAATTTTTAACTTTGGACTTACTTCCTTTTCCCTTAACAAATATTTCTCCTAAAACAGGCAAAGACAAATGAAGTGTTGTGGCAACAAAGTCGGCGGCGACCTCGGGCATAAAACCCACATCAAGCTAGAAAATGTGTTGCAGAGGAAACGCTGAGGATGGATGATTAGTGACCCGTTTACCTGCCAGGGCAGAGCTCACGCTGGTGGAGCCGTTCAGCTGCACGGAGATGGAAGGAACACTGCAGGCCAGGAAACACAGACAGAGACACTCAATCAGTCAAAACACAGACCAGGAAACAGAGGAAGAACTAAACAAAGACTGGAAGTTATTCTAGTTTTCTACACGCGGCAGAAACTCTGGTATGACATCAGAACAGAAACACTAAAAGGTTTTTATTTAGCTTTATTACTACTGAGATTAAGAAGCCTTCTTTAAACAAGTAAATGACAGATCCTTCATGCCGGGGTCTGATCTCCTCTGGCTGCAACAGGACTCGCCGCACCATGAATTGATGGATGTGCAGCAACAAACCTGTTTACTGTCTAAATAAGCTTTAAAGGAAATAACAGACACTGAGCTTCCTGCAGCGAGGGGAGGGAGAAGGGATGATCCCTTTTTAAACTCATCATGGCAGAATTAAGGTCCGTGAAGTCCAAATCCCAAACATAACCTCAAGTCATCACAAGTTTAGTAGCAACAAATCAATATTAGAGCCACAACTTTAAAGGGCTAATATTGATTAACTAGAAACAAGTTTTAAAAACTTATTTGCATTTTCTTCTATGTGATGGTGAAGGTTCACAGTCATCCAGGTCATAGTTGTTCCAAAAAAAGAAAACTAAAAACAATCCTCTGGACTTTGTTTCCAAGTTTCCCATCCAGGAAGCCTTTTCAATTCAAAATGTCAGAAATGGCGTCGAGTTCCAGGTTTTATCCAGCAGCCCAACAAAGGTATGGGGCATTGCAGGCTAACAAAAGAAGCCAAACGACCCCCATTCCAAAGGGGGGGACCCATTCATCCGGTTCAATTAGCATGCTTTCTAAACTAAAACCAGGCTTTGTTGGAGCTCAAAGCTATTTCTGACATTTTGAATTGAAAAATGTTCCTGGATGGAAGAGAAACGTCTTCAAACGAGGAAAAAAAGTCCAGTGGATTGTTGATTTTCTTTCTTATATACATACTTAATAACCAAGCGGGAACATTTGCACTTCCTGTTTCTTGTAAACCTGTTGGTCTTGGTTCAAACTGAATACATCAAATTGGTGTGGAAATCTCGGCTATGGCAGAAGTGCGTCTGCGCTAACCATAATGAGCGCTATCTGAATAGTGCTGGAGGTTAGGAAGGAGTTACGACCAGGAACGGGAATTATTGTATGAGTGACCGCTGTTCTGTCAGATGAGCATAGCCATAGTCAAGACCCATTTATCCCTTTAGTTTTGCATGAAATATAGAGTTCTAGCAACTTAATGGGTGTGTATCCCTTTAGTCATGCACAAACAAACAATTGAAATATTTAATTTTTGGTGTTTTTTGAAGCATATGGCGATCTCACCTTAAATTATTTTTTCGTACATGACTAAAGTCTATTTAAAGTCTATTTTAAGTCTGTTTTTCATACACAACTAAAAGGATAATACACAATATATATATATATATATATATATAGCACACTTTTTACTTTGAGAACCACCTTTCCTGTACATTTTAATCACACGTCGCATGTCTCTACTAACTATTATTTATTTATTTTTTGTTATTTTTTATTTATTTTTTATATACTCTACTAGCTATAAGCAAACCTGCTAAAGCTCTTTCAAGCTGAAGAATCTGGAAACATCAACTATATAATCTAGACAATGACTTTGCCGCCGTAACACATTAATCTGCTTTAATCTAATCCCTTCTACTGTCGCTCTGGTTGTATGTTTAAGGTTGTTTTATGGCTGAAAGGTAAATTTTAATCCCAAATTGAAGTTTTCTGCACTACCAAACCTTTTGTTATTAAGATTCCTTGAATTTAGCTCCATCTATTTTCCCTGTTCTGTTTAAAGGAAGTCACCCATGCAACACTTTGGGCATCATACAAAATATACGATGAGAAAAACATGTCAAAAAGGTTATTGGCTTTGGAACATTCATTTCAGTTATAATAAAAGCAAACTTTGCACATGTGTTTTGGGGAAAGCTTTAGGAATTTAGTAAAGGAGGGTAAAACCTGCAGTTTTGCGCCGCACAATTATTAATAACCTGTGGTTAAGAAGAGACTGAATTAAACTCAGCGTTGAAGAAAATTAGACCTCAAATGAAGTGCCAGTGAACTGCATATTCATTACACTCATTAGGCTAGCAGTTTGTCTTTTGGAAGCTGCTTTCTTTGCCTTTAGGAACAAAAGGAAGGGAGGTTAAACGACAGGGAAGATTAAGAGGAACCGAGGCAGAAAAAACATCACTAAAAACCACTGGAGCTATGGGCCATTTTCAGCTATTCCTGTTTGACAGGATGGATGGGTGAGAGGACATGGGGGGGGTGAGGACGGGAGTAGTGGACATAAGCAACGCCTTAGCTTTCAGCTAAATGAGTCAGAGGAAGAACTCACTGCAACTGATTCAGCAAGAAGCAGAAACTAACCTTAACCCGTTAGCACTTGAAGAGCCGCTCAAATGAGGCGCCTGCATTCGTCCGGCGGAGGGCGGGGGAGGCCACGGGCTGCCCCAAGACACTCCCCCCACAGAGAGGGGTCTTCTGGGGTAGGGCGAGTAGACCGAAGTAGGGTGAGCAGTGGCGACCCTCCCCGTCCCTTGGAGGGTGGGTCGGGTCAGACTATTGGAAGAGAAGGAATGACGAGAGCGGCTAGGCATAGGTCCCGTGCTGCTGTGGCTCAAACACTGCTGGCAGGAGCAGGCGGGGGCGGAGGGGATGGCCGGGGGCCCGGAGGTGGCCAGAGGGTAGGGCAGGTTGCACTGCCGCCGCACCTGCCGCCTAAACCCGGTGGATTTATTGACCTGGGCCAGAGAAGTAAGATCAACGATGTAATTATATCCATGGGGGCCCAAGTCCGCCGTGCCTTGGCGAGCTTGATAGCTGTGCTCCAGAAGGATGGAAGTTCTAGTTTCATAGGGGGTCCAGCTTCCTTCGTCGTTGGCCCACTCCCAGTAAACGCCACTGCCGAGGCCAGAGGACTGAGCAAACATGGAGCGGCGCACCGAGCGCGTCTTTCCTGAAATCACAGAGGAACATTTTCAGTCAGCATGAACAAATAAAACACCAACTATACCAAATCCAAATGCTTTTACTTTTAAAATTTTACTCTTTTATCCTTTCCAGGATCTGAATCCAAACTTAGAAAACAAGCCGCCATTGTAAACAATGAAAATATAACAGGCATGTTTGCAGCAGGTGGCGTCACACAAGAAACAACCAAGAGCAAAAACAGACGAGCAACTTTAAGCAACAGAAGCCAAAAAGGTCTAAAAAAATGAACAAAAAAAAGGTTTTCAAAAACTTAATATACATAGCAGTCAAAGAAAAGGGATTTATTACCCCCCTCCCCTTATTTCCAGCCCTTCTTTATAATACTAAATATTTACTCATTAATAGTTCGTCTCTTCTCTGTTTAGATGGTGGAGATTCTAATAAATCTGAAAAGTTTAACTTTGTCAAAGCTTTTGACTTGCTAATAAACAGAAAAAAATGAGTAATATAACAGTATGTTAGGTTAGCTCCGCCCCATATTTTACTGCTGATCTAATGCGGTCTTAAAGTTTTATAATCGTCTAAAGCTGGGCATAAAATGTACGATATTTTGCCCTTTTTGGGCCGATTTTCCACTAGAGGGAAAAAAAATTTTAATCGGGCCGAGTTTCAGCCGCATCATGCATCCTGTAGTAAACAGGGGGGTAACCATCAGCCTCTCACGACCGCCTCCCCATCAGGAATCGTACGGTCAGAAGAAAATCAAAGAGGGGAAATTCAGACACTCGTGAGGTGCTGGTGGCTAAATCCTGGTGTTAAAGCAGAGCTACGAGCAGATTTACCAGAACCTCGAGCTCTATGCAAACAAGGAAGTTCTTCTTCTTGTTCCTCCAGATTGACGGGAGTCCGACCAGGGCCATCTCTCAGCACCGAGTCAGACGTGTGGTTTCTGGACGTGCAGTGAGAGCAGGTAGATCGCATCAGAGCGTTGTGCCGTTCAGTGGAAGAACAAACATGGTGAGCTGTGTCAGATGAAATATTTGAGTGTGCCTTTTCTCGGCCCCATAGGAGTGATCGTAGAGAAATCTTGACCAGCCTCTATGCTGGAATGTTATTCAGGAAGTTAAACGTAGGGGTGCCAGAGAGCAGTTGCCTCCTGACTCTGAAATACAGATAACGCGCCCTTTAAGGCGTTTAAGATCATTCATGTCCTTGATGAACTGAAGTTGTTTTTCTTGTTATAACCAATGTTCCTGTGTGAGAAAGTTCTTTATATGCAGGGGTGGGTTGGTTTCCCCTGGGAGTGTGTGTAGGGGTTTGTGAAGTATCAATATGTTTGCTGATTTTTCTCTCCGTTTGCAGAGGATAGAAAATAAATATTTTGTTGGAGATGAGAAATCTGCTTCCTGGTCTGTTGAAGCACCAATAGTTTGCATCCAATCATTTAATTAAACAGTCTTAGTTTTGGGGAATATATAGAAATTATGCTCTAATTTGTAGTTACCAATCGGTCGTTACTATATTTTAATTTGACGAATCGGATCTTCTCGACGTTCTTTTTCCTGTTTGGTGTGATTGGAATTGCGGATCTTGACCTGGCCTGACCGGAGAAGAGCAAAAAAATGGCTCGGCTCCGTATTTTGATGGTGGAAGATGGAGACGTACGGAAGAGTAGCGGTGGCTGTGGGACAGATCTGATTGATTAACGTGACAGATAAGTGCTCCGCACGACGTACGTGAGCGGAGCGCTGACGGAGGATGTGGAATCTGGGGGTCAGAGGCAACAATGAAATCTGTTCTATTTAAACAAGGACTTCGTGTTTGTCTCAGTTTTGGGAGCCTTTGCTAAGGACTAATGAAAGCAGACTGGTGAAGTTTTGACATATTTCAAAAGGCCAGATTATGACCAGCAGAATCTCCTCTCCGCAGTCAGACATGGAGGCGCGTCATTAATAATAGAGAGGGCTATGAAATGTGGGTCTTTTCAGCAAAAAATAAGGGAAAGTAATGTATCATGTGACTGGCAATAATGATTCCCCTTAAAAACAAGAGGAGAGCAGAGAGGAAGGATCTCCAGTAGTGGTCAGGGTGACAGCACATTCAGACTTCTGCCTTAAAACAGATTTGTGTGTCAGTCTCTGAGAAGGATAATCAGGGATCGCTTTAACCCTGTAATACCAAATGTATCATATTTGATACATACGGTTTCTGAAATGTTTTGCTTCCGACACTTTTTGCATAATTTAATGGTAAAAACTTTGCTCAAAATCAAATTGTACACAATCAGATATACCTGATAACAGAGGGCAGAAGACTACACAAAAAATAATCTGGACTTATCGCATAGAAATAAATTATTAACATCAAAAATGTATTTCTGTTTTTTTCTTTTTACATATTTTGTTAAAAGGCCAAATAAGGACTTCATAATAAAAGAATTAAAGTAGTTGGGAAAAAATTATATGTGTTATATTTAGGTGTTTTCCATCAAAAAATATAAATATGAAAAGAATCTCCAATTTTGTCACATTTTGAACTTCAATTTATTTCTATAGCTCCAATTCACATCATGTCATCTCAGGTCACTTTCCAGTTCACCAGATCATCCAGTCAGATTGATTCAAAGTTTTCTATCTAAGGAAAACCAGCTGATTGCATCGACTCATTGACTCTTCAGCAATCCCCCACACTAAGCATGCTTGTAGCGACAGTGGAGAGGAAAAACTCCCTTTGAACAGGAAGAAACCTCCAGCAGAACCAGGCTCAGTGTGAGCGGCCATCTGCTGAGGCCCACTGGGGTTCAAGGAGACAGAAGCAGACATAGAAAAAGAAGCACAGATACAAAAGGCAACTGTCAACCAGCTCCACAGGCGGCCCCGTCCAGGAAACACACAGCCAGGCAGACGAGCTCCGAGCCAGCTCCCATGTCAGAGGATGAAGAGAGCACATCCAGTTAGTCACAGTCAGAGAAACAGGACTACACTGGAAAACAGGCCAAGCTCCAACATCTAGAAACAAAGGTGTTGATGGCAGCAGCACAGCTGATATTTCTCTCCAGGATGGAGTCACAGCCAAACATGCTTGCAATCTTCATGCTGGTGATTCTCAGTCATCCAACTCATAGTCATTCCAAAAAAAAAAGAACATTAAAAACAATTAAAAAGATAACCTCAGGATAAATTGCAGTAGATTGTTTTGAATTTTATTTTATTTTGGAGGAACTTATTGTGAAATCATGATTTATAGGATTGTTTTTAAGTATGAACCCTTATAAAAAATTTATACATATAAGAAAAGAGAAACTATAATTTATATAGTTATTATTTTCTCTTTGCCTTTTTTTGCCCATCAGTTCAACTAAACATGTCTATTAAAGCTTTAAGTATCCATTTGGCCTCCATAGCAACGCTCAGAACTTGCAATTTAACATTTTGCTTTATGTTTGTTTTAGTTTTAATCAGGTCAATTATGAAACTATAATAAAAATATTGATCCTCTAAATGATTAATAAAGTTTTCAGTGTGAGCTAATGTGAGCTAGCTGTAGCTTCCAGGCCGTTAAAGCAGAGATGATTTAAATCCTCCCTCCGGCAATCAGCGGCCTGAACGGCTCACCTGTGTCCTGCCGGAACTGCTTCAAGCTTGGGATGTCGATGAGGTAGGGGGACAGGCTGGGGTCCGACTGTCCGAGGCAGATGCTGGTTGCTCCGGCTCCTCGGTGGCCGCGCGCTGACAGACACCGCTCGATGTAGGCGCTAACCTGGCCGCTGTAGGGCCGCCAGTAGCCCAGGTCGTCCTGCCACTCCCACACCGCTATCATGGGCTGGGACTGTCCCACCGACCCAGGGGCGGTGGTAGCGGACACGGACGGTCCGTTCCTGGAGCCGTTCACCCTGGCACAGGAGCCAGACACAATCGCCATGTTCGCTAACACAACGACTGGTTGGTTAGCCGTTTGTTGCTACGAGGAAAACAATGTCCGCAGCGAGGCTAGCTGGGCTCCAGAAAACACTCCATTAGGAATGATTAACACGCCTGGGAGGAAGTTAGGAGGTGGGGATCAAACGGAGCATGGCCTGAATAAAAACATCCAAGACCATGTTGACAAAGCTGGGGTGTTCAGAACGGTTAGCTTAAGAGCAGAAGGGTTAACAGGATCCTTCCTCTCCAGCTGCTGCGTTTACGGTTCATCCGAAATACTACTGGTGCATTCAATTGGCGTTAGAAAGTCGGAATTTAAGGGACCGTGCTAATTTACGGCGGTGCTACAGATTATTATTTTTTATTTCATTTCAAGAAAATAGTCGTAGAATAAAGTCATTAAATTACGAGAATATAAAGTCGTAATATTAGGAGAATAAAGTTGTATTTTATGACAACTAATGCAAGAAGCACTTTCTTCCCTAAAATGAGGAATGTGGAGCATCATGTGAAGTTATACTTTAGCATCGGTTTGACAAATCAGCAGCATCAAACTGGGCAGGTGTCAAAGTGGACTCTGGCTGCTGATTGGTGGAGCTGGTCGGCCTTCATCTGCGGGGCGGAGCTCCAAGCTTTCTTTCTGAAACGGGTTGAGGTATGTTGACTTCATTTGCGTAATTTTTCAACTTTTTTCTTGCAATGTTGCAATTTTATTCTCATAATGATACGACTTTATTCTCTTAATGTTGTGCCTTTATTCTCGTAATGTTACAACTTTATTCTCTTAATGTTGCTCCTTTTTTCTCGTAATGTTGCAACCTTTTTCTCTTAATGTTGCAACCTTTTTCTCGTAATGTTGCAACTTTATTCGCGTAATGTTACGACTTTATTCTCGCAATGTTGCGCCTTTTTTCTCGTAATGTTGCAACTTTATTCGCATAATGTTACGACTTTATTCTCGCAATGTTGCGCCTTTTTTCTCGTAATGTTGCAACTTTATTCTCGTAATGTTACGACTTTATTCTTTAATGTTGCACCTTTTTTCTCGTAATGTTGCAACTTTATTCGTGTAATGTTAGGACTTTATTCTCGCAATGTTGCACCTTTTTTCTCGTAATGTTGCAACTTTATTCTCGTAATGTTTTGACTTTATTCTCGTAATGTTGCGCATTTTTTCTCGTAATATTGCAACTTTATTCTCTTAATGTTACGACTTTATTCTCTTAATGTTGCCCCTTTTTCCTCGTAATGTTGCGACCTTATTCTGGTAATATTACAAGTTTATTCTCTTAATGTTGCGCCTTTTTTCTCGTAATGTTGCAACTTTATTCTCGTAATGTTACAACTTTATTCTTTTAATGTTACGCTCCATTCTCGTAATGTTGCGAATTTATTCTCGTAATGTTCCGAATTCATTCTTGTAATGTTACGTCTTTACTCTTGTAATGTTAAGACTTTTTTCTTGTAATGTTATGATTTTATTCTCATAATGTTGCGAATAAATATACTCTGACTGTTGGGAGCTGGAGAAATACACCTTTTCTCCAGCAGAGTCCGCCCTGGATCCTCCCTGCTGAGCTGCTCTGCACACCTGCAGCTGATGATCTCATCTGGAGGACCTGGACTACTTAAGCTGCCTTCAGACCTTGCCTCGACGCCGCAGTGTCTTAATCAGTTGGTTAGTACTTAAGCCATAGATCCCTAGTGAACCAAGTCTCCTTTGAGTCCAACCTGGATTCTAACCCTTTTGTCTCTGCTTCCAGGTTTCCTGTTCTTTCTCCTGTGAAGCTCTGGAAGAGCTTAACCTGCCGAGCCAGCCCTCCGAGCCAAACCTGAAGACTCACTCTCTGGATTTCCTAGCAGCTCTGGATACCGAGCTGGAAACACAAGCCAAGGTCAAAACAGCCTTTAGAAGTAAGACGCTGAAACAGCTTAAGGACTCTGCCAACCCAAGCTTTCTCCGGACCCAACAGTTCCGCTCCCAAAGCCTCCTCTACGTTCATCAAGGTACAAACCTGAACACAATCAGTCAAGTCTCAACCAAGCCTTTGCTAACCAAACTGTCTTTCTCACAGATGCCAGTGAACCGGTCCCAGCCCAGAACCATTGCATCAGTCTTTATTATATGTGTGAATTTGCCAATAAACTCTGTTAAACTTTCCATCCGTGTCGTCAGTGTTCTGCATATTGGGCCTCCCTGATACCCATCATGACACCGACGTGCTAACTAATATATTCTTCAGAATTAGTTCTCAAATTGTTGCACTTTTAAACACAAACTGGACATATGCAGCCAAACAATGTTGCAAAGTTTATGAAGAGCGATTCATTAACAGATATGCAATTCAGAATTGCATTACTATGTTATTACTGAGCTTTTGCTTTTATTTACTACTACTACACTATGACGTAGCAATATTATGAGGCGGAAACTCTTCCCAAAGCAGCAGTCAGGTCTTTTTGGGGAGGTGGTCTTGCTCTATTTTTATTGTATTATAGTTATTAACTTTTTTTATTCGTGTAACTTCAGTAATTCCCTGACCCTTCCTCCCACAGTCCAGAAACATGACTGTTAGGTTAATTGGCTTCTCTAAATCCTCCTTAGGTGTGAGTTTGTGTGAATGGTTGTTTGTCCTGTTTGTCTCTGTGGTGCCCTGCAATGGACTGGAGACCTGTCCAGGGTGCACCCCGCCTCTCACCCACTGACAGCTGGAGATAGACACCAATTTCAACCCCAGCACGCAAAATGGATGGGAAACAAAATAATATTATTAAAAGAAAAAGTGTTATGTAAATTTATAGCATACACAATAACCCTTTTTTTGCCTAGGCAATGGCTATTTTCAAATTTAAGAATTAAATCATGAGGAAAAACTGTTAAATAACGTAATACAGAATTTACAGATAGAGTTTGCCTCGGGGATTCTTCACATTTCACCTGAAACATTTTAGCAATGACCGCTACAATAAAACCATCTATCTGGTAATAAAACGTAAAGATTGAACATTTCTCAGACCATAACGCACATTTGTAAGGACATAATTCATTGATGGAATTATGGTAGTGATCAGATTATCCTTAAGGTAGACTACAATCCCCTGACATCTATGTAAAAGGCATCCAAGCTCTTAAAAAAAAAATAAAAAAAATTCAGCAAGTTTTGTAAAAAAAAAAAAAAAAAAAACAATTACCCTCAACATCTTTAAATTTAAAGGTTATAAAATGTGCATAAAGTCTGAATTTTCCTGTTACACACATCCTTCTATCTGTCCTCACATATCTATGAACAATTCCTGCCCTCAACTGGAGATAAACATGTATGACATGATCAGCAGCGTATGTAGGCTTCCCAGAACCCCAATGTGCTCATGACTCACAACCTATGGTTTGAAAATCAGAAATACGACGCAGCAGCCCAGAAGGATGGATGCTGTTAAAAACAGGTTTTAACTGATGAGACAAGAATAAAATTTACACCTTATACTTTATTATAAAAAATGATGGATGGCAAGCTTTAAATCAGGGCTGAAAGACAAAACTGCTTTTTAGTTAAAACTATGTTGATAATGTTTGATAAACTTGCAAAGCTGTTTGGTTAAATCAATGCTCCTAAACTCCACTGCTTGTGTCCTGCTACTTGTTTTTGCACGTCTGCTTCGGAACACCCAGCTCTGGTGAGGAGCTTTAACCATTTGATTCAAGTGACTAAAGGAGCACTTAATTGCACAAAAAAAAAAAAAAAAATTTTAGACCACTGAGCAACATTAAAACTACTCTTAGCAACTACTCTTTTGCAAAATAGAAAGAAAAAAGTATCTGAAAAGTGTCAATACTACACAGACCAGGGGCGGATTTAGTAAATTTGGGGCCCTAGGCAAAGACAGGCAGGGGGCCCTCTGAATTGAGAAGACAACACATAAAACAGCCCCATTCTCCAGATAGAGAAATGTTAATAGAATAGACATCCATTATCTGTTCTAGGTTTTGTCCCTCTCTTCTTGTCCCTTTTCAGCACGATGGAGCTGCTAAACTAAAATGTTGAGGGAATCACTGCAATCAGCTGTTTTCTTAAATGTTCAGTCAGATTTCTGCTCCTGTTGACGGGTTGTTGGTGAAATGTTCATGAGCCAGGGGCTCTAATGTGTCTATGACTGTTTTTTTTAAATCATAGTTTTTAAAATCACAATTCAAAATCAATATTTCAATCTATCCAATCATAATTTCTGTTTAATTTATAAAATCAGACATGGTTTAGCACCACCTCCACTATGTGACTTTGTACAGTTCAGATCCAGTGAGGTCAGGGTAACCAGAGGGGCAGTGAGGGAAGACTGCATCATCCCCCGGAGAAAAACAGCCTTTGGTCAGGCTGTTTTCTCCGTAAGAGCATCTCAACAATGGAACACAGTGCCAGAAACCATCAGAGACTCTTTGTCATTCTCTTCATTCAAAAAGAATGCAAAAAAATGGCTTGTAGAGAGCCAAATTTGTGGGCACTAAGGTTTTTAGTGTGTATTTAAATAATTTTACAATATATTTTTAATAATTTTACATACATTTTACTTCTTAACCATAATGTTTTTATGTAATTGGTATTGTAATTTAATCTTGTGATTTTATACTTTATTTTTAAGGTTGCCTTTTTAATATCTGGCTGGGGGACTACCGATGAAAATTAGCACTCCTTAGCTAACTCGGGTATATTTACATTGTTTTTTTTTTTTTTTTTTTTTTTTTTTTTTTTTTTTTACATTGTATTTACATTGTTTTAATGTTTATTAATGTACACTGTCCCCTTTCAAATAAACAAGAAATTAACAATAAAAATGAACAATTTTGTTGTTTTTATACATATTTTTTGTTTCTTGTTATGAGAATCACTGTTGTGAATTTATCCTTTTCTTTATCGTTAATGTCTCTAAACTTTCAAGCACAGCTGTATATATTTACCTTGTTAAATAGAATGAATTTTAGGATTGCCAGTCCAAAGAGAGAGAGAAGTGTACAAGGGGAAGGAGAGGAGCAAGGTGGAAGGGGAGGAAAAGCAATTACGTTTCGGTACAGAAGACAATAAAGCAGAAGGACAAAACACAAAAGTCACAGATACGATGTGTTGGTGAATAATAGAGTCAGTTATTAACAAAAAGGAAGTTTAAAAAATGTAGAAAATGTATGTAGAAAACAATGAGATGTATCTTGCCTGTCCAGACAGCTCCCTGGGTGCTTAGCACCCCTAAACCTCTGATCATAGAATCGTCCCTGGTTGGAATAATTAAATTCA